CCGTGCATGCGCACGAGAGCCCCCAGCAGCGCGATGGGGCGAAGTCCTCCGTCCGTCTTGGGGGCGAAGGCCATCTTGGTGACGAAATCGGGCCACTCGCACCTCTGCTCAATCACGTCAATCAGGTCGATCATGGCCTCGATGCCTTCGTCGTCCATCAGCTGCAGCTCCCTGGGCCTGAGCGAGTCGAAGGACGCACCCGTGGCCCCCTTGAAGCTGCTGATCACCTTCCTGACTTCCTCGACTGTGGGCCTAGGCGGCCTCTCGCCAAGCTCATCTGGCCAGTCAACGCGGGCTTCCTGGGGACTGGCGCAGGAGGAGGTGGGGCCCCCCAAGCCCCAGTGCCCAGACCATTCCTTCACCAAGGCGGTAACCGTCTCCTGGAGGGTAGGAGGAGAGCCGTCAGGAGACGCTCCCGCAGGGCGAGGCGCCCAGCCTTGTGGAGGTTTGGTAAGAGCATGGAGGGCCCCCGTGCCTCTAGTGTGATTGTCAATCACCCAGTCGTTGTAGCTCGACTGCCTCGCGTCAGCCTCCTTCTGGACCATCTTGTCGGCAGCCGCGTTGACGTAAGCAGCGATGCCCTGCAGCGTGCCGATGTCCAGGGAAGGCGCGGCCTCTGCCAAGGTAGCGAAGATGGTGATCGTGTTCAATGTGTGCTGGTCGGTGGCCAGAACCAGGTCGTCGCCCTTCATCTTGCTGAGAACCCGCAGCGCTCGAAGCCGACGAAGGGGAAAGTCGACCTGCGCGCAATCCTTGATCGCGATTGCCACCCTCTTGTGCCAGGATGCGGCCTTGGAGCACTTAGGGATACGTGGCGGGCTGGGTACCGCAACCTTGGCCATCTTGAGGCGTGGCCTGGCGGCGCGGCCTGCGTAGTCGTCGTACTCGTGAGCCAGGCCGACGGCGTCGATAATGTTCCGCTCGGCCTGGTGGACGAAAAGCTGCCAGCGCGAGGAGAGCGAACTCGTGGCCTGCCTGGCTTGCCGAGTGGCCCCCCAGGGAACTGAGTGGCCCCTGCTGCAGCACGCGGTCGGCAGCGGGCAGGGCAAGCGCTTAGGGATCTCCATGATTTGCATCTTCCTGGCGAAGGTGCTGCCGTCGACCCTCAGCTGGACAGGAAAATGCGGCGCTAGGTTCCAGCCGCGCAGCACTTTGGCCTCCGCTGCGCCGAAAGTAGTGCCGATGACCCAGTTGTCGATGATGCGCCCCCCAGGGCGGCAGGTGCCCTCGCCAGGGGCGACCACCTTGAGCTTGAGCGCGTTGAGGAAACATGACGCCGCCAACTCCTGCGGCTCCAGGTTGAAGTCCCCGCCGATGATGATGGGCTCGGCGACCTGCTTAGCCGCGCGGTAGACGGCCTGCAGCACCTGGTAGTTGAAGTCGGACATGCCCTCGCTGTCCTTGAGGTAAACGTTGAACCAGGCAACTCCGCCAGGCACAATGCCAGCGAAGTGGGCGACCGAGGCCCTGCCAGGGAAGAGCTCGAAGCCGTTCTTTATCTCAAAGGCGCCGAGGCCATGCGCACGCGGCGCGAGCTGCAGCAGCCCTCCATGGCCGTGAAGGCCAGGGCCCGTACCCACTGCGGGGCACGCGGGGGCATGCCAGCCCTGCTTCTTGAGCTTGTCGGTCGCCTCAGCGCACCGAAAGTCGGAGAGGCGAGTCTCCTGCACCGCAATCAAGTCAGCGTTGCGCACCCGGTACTCGCCGAGCAAAGCCTCAAACCTGCTGCAGGCATTGGCGTTGATGGTGAGCGCCGTCCACCAGCGCCTCTTGGCAGAGCTACCCGCCTGCCGTCTTGGAGCGCTTGGCTGTGCGGATGGTACCCATGGCCTCGGCAAGCCTCTTGCGTTCGCCCTCCTCCTGGCAGGAGCCCAGCAGGCCACGAGGATCATCGCCAGCCATGAAAGCGTCGAAAGCCTCGTCGGGCGTGGTCCCATGCGCTGGGCCGCCCTCTGCAGCTGCCGCTTCGCCACCCTCAGGGGCTGGCTCCTGACCAGCAGGCGGCCCATGCTGCTGCGGCTCGGTTGGCCTGCTGGCGCTGTCGAGCTCATCGACCGCTGCTTGGAGGGACTTGAGGAACTCCGCGAGCGAGATGCCCTCCGTGGGGATCTCTCCGAGCTTGGCCTTGAGCTGCGGCGCCGTGAACGCGCCAGCTGCGGGTGCGCACGCACCGTACAGCCTCGCCGCGTCCTGCTTCGCCGCCTCCAGCTCATTCTCCAGCTTAGCCACGTCAGCCTCCGAGGTAGCAACCGCCTCCAGCATCCTGAGAGCCTTGTCCTTGTTGCTTGCCAAGCGGTCCTTCGCGTTCTGGAGGGCCCTGGCGGCCTTGTCGACAGCTTGAGGAGCTTCACGACCGGCAGCGCCCAGCAGCCCAGCAGCAGCAGCCCGCCTGGCGTACTCAACCTTCTGCCTTGCCGAGTGAGACAAGGCATTCTTCGTCTTCTCGTAGACGTCAGCGGGAAACTCCGACCACTCCTTGACGTCGCTCGGTGTGAGGGTAGCCCCTGCGGCAGGCTGCGGCCGTTGTGCCAGCGGGGCTCCTCCTTGCTTGGCCCATGGCTTCCATACGCTCTGCTTGAAACCAGCCCCTTTTTGCGCTGCATCCAGAAATCAGCTCCTTTCGGCCCGCCGTTCCAAGGACGAGGCGGTGGCTTGGCCTCTCCACAGTTGTTGCACGTCCGACGGCCCTTGGTATTGAACTCACCGCAGCTGCACTTCCAGTACCCTGCCATGGCAACGGCACACAGGCGAGTACGGTCAGCAGACACAGGTGTCGAGCGAGTTTGCCGAACACAGTGGTGCCAGCAGAGAAACTTTGATGGGCGAGCCGCGGACTAGCGGTATCCGTGTCCTCCGCGGAGGGAGGCATGGTCTTGAGCCAAAATGGCTACGGAATCTCGGCGGCCGAGAATAAAGCTGTCTCCTATCGGTTGCGACATAGGTTGCGCCCTCGGCGGCCGAGAATAAGACCGCCTCCGATCGGTTGCGCCATAGGTTGCGCCCTCGGCGGCCGAGAATAAAACCGTCTCCTATCGGTTGCGCCATAGGTTGTGCCCTCGGCGGCTGAGAATGAAACCGTCTCGGGCCCTCAGCGGCCGAGAAAAAAACAGTCTCCTACCGGTTGCGCCATGGGTTGCGCTCTCGGCGGCTGAGAATAAAACCGTCGCGTAACGGGTGCGACCAGTCTGCTCAGTTCTGTTCTTTAAGTTCAGGTCAGTCCGGTTCAGCTCAGTTCAGTTCAGTCAGTCTGCCTCGCGAGCTACGCCCGAAAACAAGAACACGAGAACCATGACCAGGATTGAACGCTTAAAACCATCTTGGGCATCTCCAATCTTGGATCATCCACGCGAATCGGCGACAGACGGCATGAACGATGACCAAGATCGGCGTCGACAAGATTCAGCGACATCCTGGTCAGGGTCATCGTGTTTCTACCCTTCAATCTAAACCCCCGTGCTCGCTGGAATATGGGGGGACAAGATACCGATACCGCTGCTCCCCAGACCTCTCCTGGGGTGCTCCCTGACCACCATCTCGAGAAGAATGGAAGAATCCAGCCGTGGCGACGATGGATCTCCAGGACGAACAGCGGCATCGATAATACACTTCCTCCTCTCGGGATCGTCTCCACCCTCTGAACGCAGACCCAGAGCGGTGGATATATGATCCAGGGTCTGCCCCCCCATCCCCCTCATGCTGATGCCATCGGCATCCCCCCCCCCCGCGCGATGGGAACCCCCTGTGGGCGTGGCGTGGTGGGGTCTTCCACTGTGGGCGTGCGGTAGTGGGTACGGGATCATGCCCTCCCCCCCCATCAGGGAGGAGGAGGAAAGAAGTGAGAGAAGGGAGCAAGGTAGGGAAGAGAGGGCTAAGGAACGAGGAGGGAGGGATGAGGAGGTGGACGGAGGGAGGAGGAGAAGCAACATCGTCATCGACGGTGTCTTCCCCATCGTCGCCTCCCTCTGGGTGTGGCGTCGTGTTGCGGTGCTTCAGGGAGCCAGAGCGGAGTCGTCGTCGTCGTCGTCGTCGTCGTCGTCGTCGTCGTCGTCGTCGTCGTCGTCGTCGTCGTCGTCGTCGTCGTCGTCGTCGTCGTCGTCGTCGTCGTCGTCGTCGTCGTCGTCGTCGTCGTCGTCGTCGTCGTCGTCGTCGTCGTCGTCGTCGTCGTCGTCGTCGTCGTCGTCGTCGTCGTCGTCGTCGTCGTCGTCGTCGTCGTCGTCGTCGTCGTCGTCGTCGTCGTCGTCGTCGTCGTCGTCGTCGTCGTCGTCGTCGTCGTCGTCGTCGTCGTCGTCGTCGTCGTCGTCGTCGTCGTCGTCGTCGTCGTCGTCGTCGTCGTCGTCGTCGTCGTCGTCGTCGTCTCCCCCCCACCCATATGGGGGGGGGCCCCCGAGGGACCCTGAGACCCATCCCATCTGGAGGGGGCAGGGGGCCCGTGGGCCCCGAGCCCCGGATCATTTATAATTAGAATTCCCGACCCCTTCCCCGAGGCAGCTTTGCGTCCCGGATCCATGCTTCATGGAGCCCGAAAGCGGCCCCAGGAGGAAGAAAATGAAGGAAAAAAAACCGCCATATAAACATCATGTCGTCGGAGGTCCGGGTACAGACCTCGTCCCCCCACTTCTTTCCTCGCAGGCGAAAAAAATCGTATCCGCGGCCTCGCGGGCCAGGCCCCTGGGCCGCGACCCCGTGGATCCGGGGTGCATGTTTCGCGGATGCCCCAAACGGAACGTATCCGTGCGACCGCGTATCCGCGGGATCGCGCCCTGGAATCCAGACCGCGAGAGCGCGGATACAGATATGTTCGCCGGTCGTGCTTTCGCCGATCGTGCTCTAACCAAAGCAATGTCCTCAGAACACAAAGCCGATGTGCTATAACAAGACTGTCTCAGCCAGAAATACTCTACAAAGACATCCCGTGCAGACCACAACAAATTATTAGAACATTATCTGGCGGGCCTATCGGCAAATCAGGACGCCTCGCCACCGCTTGAGACTCCGAGCGCCCGTGTCGGCAGCGCTGCACACGGCGCCGTGGCATTCCCGGGCCTCCGAGCCTGGGGAAACCACAGGGTACCCATACCGCTACTCCCCGGACCTCTTCTGGGGCGCGTTCCGACCAGGACGTCGAAGCGAATCCGGCGATGGCGACGAACGAGGGCCCTCCAGGAGGCCGACAACAAGGGGACGACGGCCGAAGGGCAGCCGTATCGCTACCCGTTCCTCCTCCGAGAGCCGCGCCGCAGCGCCGTGCCCGCGGGGCACGCCGCCGGCCCGAACTCGGCGCAGGTGGCGACGGCCTTCCCGCGGGGCCGCCCCGCCGCGCCGCCCTCGCGCGCGTCGCCGGGCGCCGCCGAAGCCAGCCGGCCCCGGGAGGCCGAAGGGCCAGCGAAGGGCCGCCGAAGGGCCAGCGAAGGGCCGGCGAAGGGCCGCCGAGGGGGCCGCCGGAAGGGTCAGCGAAAGGCCATCAAAGGGCCGCCGGAGGGCCGCCAGAGGGCCGCCGAAGAGCCGCCGAGGGGCCAGCGAAAAGCCGCCAAAGGGCCGCCGAGACCTCGGAAGGCCGCCAAAGGGCCCGCTGAGGCCCCCCCCCCCCCGACGCGCGCCGCGCGCGAGAGCGCGCCTGTCGCCGCCTCCTCCTCCCTCCGCCTTCCCCCTCCTCTTGCTCCCCCCTGCCTCCTGCCTCCTGCCTCCTCCTCCTCCTCCTCCTCCTCCTCCTCCTCATCATCATCATCATCATCATCATCATCATCATCATCATCATCATCATCATCATCATCATCATCATCATCATCATCATCATCATCATCATCATCATCATCATCATCATCATCATCATCATCATCATCATCATCATCATCATCATCATCATCATCATCATCATCATCATCATCATCATCATCATCATCATCATCATCATCATCATAATCATCATCATCATCATCATCATCATCATCAGCAGCATCATCATCATCACCATCACCATCATCATCATCATCATCATCATCATCATCATCATCATCAGCATCATCACCATCATCATCATCAGCAGCATCATCATCATCCTTCTCATCCCCCCTCCTCCGCGTCCCCATCACCATCATCATCACCACCACCACCACCATCATCATCATCACCACCACCACCACCACCATCATCATCATCATCTTCAGCATCATCATCACCATCATCATCATCATCAACAACAACAGAAGCAGCATCATCATCGTCCTCCTCCTCTTTTTTGGCAGCGACGCACATTCCCCTGAACAGCGAACTGCAATAACAGCCAAAGGAGAACTGATGCAACAGAAAGATTTCACCTGTAATTACAGCAGAGGGATGAATTCATCAATGTCAACAAACACACCCTTCTTGTCAGGGTGGAGGCCTTTTCGGAGCTTGCGAATATTCTTCAAGCCAGACTCCGTCGGGTGTCCACATTTGCGACCCAGGCCTATCACTTGACCCCCACTGCTGTAAAACTTGCACGACATGCAAAAAACAGGTGGCTCTTGTCATTGCAAGGAAACGCAATTACACGGTGACCCTTGGACTCCAGGACCCCTTGGTCCAACGGGCAGGTGATCCACGAAGGCAAACTCTACAACGCCAAGTGTTTCCCTGCTTGGTCCATTCGTGGCATACTTCCAGCAATGGAGCGTCCGAGGACTGGGGCCTAGGAGCACGCTCCAGGCCTCGGAACTCAAGCTTGGGCCACAGCGGCAGGAGCTCCGCTCCTGCCAGCAAGACGAGACGAGCAATCTTCAGCCGTCTCCGTAGGTCTTCCTCTTCAGAAGGGGGACCAGCTGGGGTGAAGCAACACAGCTTCCTTGGCCGCAACGTCGGCGTAGTGGTTCTCAACACGCAAGAACTTCTCTCGCGCACTGAGCCCCTCTTCATCGAGGTCACGGTGAGCTGCAACCTGAACAAAAGAAGAAACATTAGACCCGAAATGCTGGCGCGCTTGAGTGACAAGGCCAGCATACTGACGCTTCCCAGAGATGGCGTCCGCCTGTCCGAGGTTCATGAAATTCACCACATTGCTGCAGTCTGAGTAGCAGTCAGAGGGACCTTCTGAATAAAGCCCCGTCCAGGCCAGGGCCCCAAATTCAGAGCCTTGGAGGGTCTGAGGCCAAGGGGCCCAAAGAGGACCTTTGAAAACCCCGAGGCGCTCCCCAGCCTGAGAGACCATGACCACGGCCCAACCAGCCCGAGACAGCTCTCTAACAGTGTGGCGGCGGCAAGAGCCGTCCATGAACAGGTGCCCCCAGATCCCACTGGAAGGAGGAATGGAGGGAGGAGCAGCAGCATCTGACGGGTCAGGCAGCAGACCCGTAAACCAGTCATAGACGACTCCAGTACTCGTAGCAGGAGGAGGAGCGAGATCTCCTGGATGCCTCAGAGCCCCATGTAAGAATAACACTGCGTCCTCAGAGTCAGGGCCAGCTTGGCGGGCTTCCTCTTGAAGCCACATAGGAAGAACTTCATCGCGTTCCTGCTGAACAGCAGGGCATTCATAGAGACGGTGAAAAAAAGTGTCTCTAGCTTCGCCACAAAGCTGTCACCGATCAGGAAATAAATATCCTGCAGAGGCCAAGTCACCTGCAGTCCAACATGCCTTGGTCGCTAAGGATCTGACCCAACCCTTGTCTTAGCCCCAATTTTTTTGGACCCCAGGATATTCTTGGCAACGTCCCAACAAAGCCGAGCCCCCACACCGTACTTGTCTCCAGAGATCCGTTCCAGGGAGCGAAAGACAGCTTCCTTGCAAAAGATCTTAATAAGCTTAGGGCTGGAGAGAGTGAGGGAGATTTCACGACCAAAGTCATCGACGATGGTGCAAAAATCAGGCACCTCTTCCTCCTCCTCCTTCTCATGCTCCTCGTGTTCCTCCTCGATTCCTTTTCCTTACAAAGGACTCCTCCCTGTCGCACCACGGGGCCTGTCGAAATTGCGGGCCAGGCGCTTCGCCTGAGACGTCCTCACCACTTCTGATCATGAAGCTTGCAAGTTGCAACAGTGCCACGGAGGGAGGGCGGGCGGTTTTCAAAACTTAGCGCCGCGAGAGTTCGTCTGGAAAGCTTGCAAGGGCTTCACGGATGGACGGCGGGTGGCTTTCAAGATGCAACTCGCGCCGTAACGCGGCGCACGCTCGTCTTAAGCATTGGCAGGAGCTTCACGGCTGGAGGGCGGCTCCTGTGCAAACTGTGGCGCTCGCCTTAGCGCCGAGCGCATCAGTTCAGAGAGTTTACACCAGTTTCGAGGGTTCTCATGGCTACCATCCCCCAAGAAGCGTCTGGGCACAATGTCGGGCCGTCAGGGCGCAACCGTTGCGTTGATTTGTGGAGCTGGAATCCCAGAAACGGCATTCAGGCACGATTCTGCATTGTCAGAACGCAACCGTAACGGTGATTCGCGGCGTTGAAGGCACAATTCGGATGTTTAGAACGGTTGTCCTCCAACGGGGCACGTCCCTCAGTGATGATGAAATCTTTGTAGGGGCCTGTGAGAGGGGACTTTGAGCGAGGACTTATTGTTATCAGAGTGAGGGGCCGAACGGTCTTACATTGTCCCTGGGTGCGTGGCTGAAGTAGGGATCCGCGGTGAAGACTATGCTTGTTGTTGTTGTCGTCGTCCTGCCCGCGACCCACCCCGCGACCCACCCGCGACCCGCCCGCGACACACCCACGACCCACCCGCGACCCACCCGCGACCCACCCGCGGCACACCCGCGACCCATCCGCGACCCACCCGCGACCCACCCCGCGACCCACCGACATTGTTGTTCTCACACACATGCGCCTGTGGCGGGCACGCTACGGGCGGGCTCGCTACGTATGTCACAAAAAATCGGCGCCTGGGGCGGGCCTCTTCAAGTTTTTCGTTCGAACCTCGTGATTCGCTGGCGACCCCCGCCCCCTCACTCTTATCCGCAATTGCGGGGCCTATCAGATCGTTGAATAATAGTCTTGGGTTTACACTGGACCTCCTGCTCCTCCTCCTCCTCCTCCTCCTCCCCCTCCTGTGCCTGACGCCTTACGGTGGTCTGAGAGCCCTCCAGGGCGCGACCAGGCCACCCCCCTCAGGCGGCATCGAAAATGGTAAGCCAGGAGGGGGTGCCGCTCCGCAAACGGCCCGAGCACCGCGGCGGGACCGGCGAGGGGCGGGAGGGGGGGACGGACGAGGGTGATGGGCCTGTTTTCCACCACCACCACCATGAGTTGGAGGGGGGAAGGAAGAGGAGGAGGACGAGGAGGGCGAGGAGGAGGAGGACGAGGAGGAGGAGGAGGAGGACGAGGAAGAGGAGCACGATGAGGAGGAGGAGGTGGAGGAGGAGGACCCCCTCCCCCTCCAACTGATGGTGGTGGTGGGGGTGATGGAAAACATGCCCATCAGAGGGGCCCGAAAGAAGAGGGCGAGGGGGCACGACGAACGAAGCGAGCGCAGGAGGGGAGAGAAAGACAGGCGCGCAAGCCGGGGCCACGCCGCCACCTCCAACCCCGACCCACAACTTCCTCCCATTCCTCCTCCTCCGCCCCCTCAGGAGAAGACGACGGGGGAGGGCATCGGACGCGGCATCGGCGGGAGCGCTGGGCATGACGTCGCGCGGGCAGTCGGCGAAGGGCACATGTGGCAGTCGTGGTGTGTCGCCAGGCGCGTGGGAGGGCTAGTTTCGGTGCCGTCGCGAGGATTGATGCGGGTGTCGATGCTGGCGTGGTTGCTGGCGTCGATGCTGGTGTTGGTGATGTCGTAGGTGCTGGCTCGGGTGCTGGAGTCAGTGCAGTGTTGGGTGGTGGCCTTGATGCAGGGGTTGAATCCGGCGTCGATGCCGGGGTCGATGCCAGGGTCGTTACTGGCGCCGCTGCGAAGGCCGCTATTGGCCTAGGTGCGGGCGTCGATACTGAGGCCGACGGTGGCGTGGGTGCGGGCGTCGATGCAAGCTCCTGTGCTGGGGTCGGTGCTGTACTCGGTGCTTGTATCGATGCTGGATTCAGTGTCGATGATGGCATGGATGCGGATTCCGATGCTGGAGTCGGCAACTAATCTCCTTGTTGCGATCGTCGCCGCTGGCATCGATGCGGGCGTCAGTTCTGGCGTCGATACCAGGTCGATTTTGGCGTCGGTGGGTGCGTCCATACACGCTCCTGTGACAGAGTCGATGCTGGCTTCGGCGCTGATGTCGATGCTGGCGTCATTGTTGGCGTTAGTGCAGGCGTCGATGTTGGCGTCGATACTGGCATCTATGTTGACGCTCGTCCAACATGCGGTGTCGGGGTCGCTGCTGTCTGTGACGTCGGCGCCGTTGCTGGCGTCGTTGCTAGCGTTGCGTCAGCACAGGCCTGGGCGCTGTATTCGATGCTGGGGGCGCTGCTGTCAACGATGCTGGCTCCTGAGCTGACGATGGTGACCTTTTTAGCTGGCGTGGCGTTTTCGATTGGGGCAATGAACGCGTCGATGCTGAAGTCGGCGCTCGCGCCGGTGCTGGGATCGAAGCTGCCCTCAATGTTGGCACGGATGCTGGCGCCGGTGCTGAGGGCATCCCTGTAGGCAGTGCCGGCGTCGGTATGTCTTTGGACGGTGGCGTTGGCGGTGGCGTCGACATTGGCTTCGACGCTGTCGCGAGCGCTGGGTCCAGCGTTGGAGTCGACAGCGGCGTCGATGATGGCCTGGGTGCGGGTTCCGATGCTGGAAGCCGGTGGCGTCCTCGATGCGATCGTCGGCGTTGGCGTCGATGCGGGCGTCGGCGCTGGCGTCGATGATGGTGTCGGCGTCGGCGTCGGCGGGGGTATCCATGCAGGCCCCCTGTCGGCGGCAGCCTCCACGACCCCCACCATCGCCGTCATGGCCTCCAGGTCCTCCTCAACCTCCTCGCTGACAGCTCCCAAGACCATTTCCTCCACGATACCCTCATCGGGATCGCATCGGGATCGGCATCGGCTGGAGTGGATGATGAAATCGGTGCAAGCGTAGATGCTGGACTAGCTGCCGGCGTCGGTGCAGGGGTCAATGTTGGCGTCGATGCTGGAGTCAGCACCGTTATCGGTGATGTCGTTGATGCAAACATTAATAATGGAGCACACATTGTCTTCGATGCTGGAGTCGACGCTGGTGCCGATAACGCGGTGGATGCGGGCCCCGTGCCGGGGGGCGGGCTGTCTCCGCTGCTCGCGTTGATGCTGAGGTCGATGAAGGTGTGGGCAATGGCGCTGGCGCTAAGGTCGACGCTGGTGTTGGCGTCGATGCCGACGTCGCTGGTGGCCCCGATGGCGGAGTCAGTGCTGTCTGGAATGCCAGCATCGATGGTGAGATCGATGCTGGCGAGGGTTCTGGCGTAGAAGCTGGAGTAGATGCTGGTGTTGGAGGCGTCGATGCCGGGGGCAGTGCTGGCGCTAGTGCAGGGGCCGATGCATGCTTATGTCCTGGAGTTGGTGATGTGCTCAGTGCGTTTGTCGTAACTGGCTTCGGTGCTGTCGCGAGGGCTGGTTCTGGCAATGGGGTCGGCGGCGGTGTCGATGATGGCATGGGTGCGGATTGTGATGCTGGAGTCTGTTGCGTCCTCGATGTGATCCTCGATGCCAGCATCGATGCGGGCGTCGGCGCAGGCGTCGATGCCGAGGTCGACATTGGCGTCGGCGGGCGAGCCCATGTAGGCTCCTGCGCTGGAGTCGATGCTATTTTCGGTGGTGGTGAAGATCCTGGCGACGCTGTTGGCGGTGGTGTTGGCGTCAATGCCGTAGTCAGTGCTGGCGTCGGTGCGCACGTCGATGTTTACTTCGGGGCCAGGGTGGCCATGGCCGACGATGCAGGCGCCGATGCTGGCATGATTGCTGGCTTCGATGCTGGGGTCTGTGCTGGGGCCAGCACTGCCGTCCCAGAGTGGCGCTGCTGAATTGCGTTGTGCTGTTCTCGATGTTTTTCTTGTGAAAATGTGACAGCTCAATTGAATCCCTACCGCACGGCACCACGACTACCAGCCAGGCCCTCACGAAGAAGCCGAAGGTACACGAGAAGACCGCAACGAAGAAGCCGAAGGTACACGAGAGGTTTGCTGTTCTCGATGCTGCTGGTACAATGAATCGTGGCAACCGTTCCTCTTGGACGCCCCCGACCCCAGAGCTAGCTGCTCGGCATCGAAGTCTGCGCCCCCCCCCGTCCTGCCTCCGCCCGTCGCTCCTGCGCCCCCTATCACCTTCGGAGGGGCAGGCCGCGGCCTGGCAGCAGCGCGGCCAGTCCTGCTCGGAGCACTCCTCGTCCAGGCACAGACGCTCCTGGCGCCAGGCGCGGGACCACACCCTTGATGCTCCTCCTGATCCTCCTCCTTCTCCTCTTCCTCCTCCTCCTCCTCCTCGTCCTCCTCCTCCTCCTTCTGCTCCTCCTCCTCCTCCTCCTACCGCCTGCTTCTAAATCCTCCTCCTCCTCATACTCAGCCTCCTCTCCTTATCTGCTTTATCCTCATCGCATTGTTATGATTAGTATTCGTATTCCTCCTCCTCCTCCACCTCCTCCTCATCATAATCATCACCAACATCATCGTAAGCATCATCATCATCATCATCATCATCATCATCATCAGCATCATCATCATCAGCATCATCATCAGCATCATCATCCTCATCATCATCATCATCATCATCATCATCATACTGAGCATCATCAGCATTAAAATCATCAGCATCATCAGCATCATCAGCATCGGCATCATCGTCATCGCCATCGTCATCATCATCAGCAGCACCATCATCGTCATCATCATACTCATCAATACAATAATCATCAGCATCATCATCATCATCATCATCATCATCATCATCATCATCATCACCAACACCATCATCATCAGCAGCAGCATCAACATCATCAGCATCAGCAGAAGCAACAGCAGCAGCATCAACCGCATTATCATCGTCAGCAGCATCATCAGTATCGTGATCGTCATCAGCAGCAGCATCATCAGTAGCAGCATCAACATCATCATCATCATCGCCATCATCATCAGCATCATCAGCAGCATCATCAACATCATCAGCATCAGCAGAAGCAACAGCAGCAGCATCAACCTCATTATCATCGTCAGCATCATCATCAGTATGGTGCTCATCATCGGCAGCAGCATCATCAGTAGCAGCATCAACATCATCATCGTCATCATCATCATCGCCATCATCATCATCATCATCAGCATCACGATTATCATCAGCATCATCATCATCAGCATCAGCATGGGCATCGTCTTCGCCACCATCCCCTCGGAATCATCAGCATCACCATCAGCATCATCATCACCACCACCATCATCACTTAAATCAGCAACATCATCATCATCATCATCATCATCATCATCAGCATCATCAGCATCAGCATCATCAGCATCAGCACCAGCATCAGCACCAGCATCGTCTTCAGGAGCATCGTCGTCATCACCATCATAGTCAGCATCCTCATCATCGTCGTCATCAGCATCATCATCAGCAGCATCAGCATAATCTCCATCATCATCATCATCATCATCAGCAGCAGCATCATCATCGTCAGCACTTGCATCAGCATCCTCATCATCATCACCATTATCCTCGTCATCGCCATCCATTGTCATCGTCATCGCAGTTGTCATCGACATCGTCACCAGCACCGGCTGCAGCATCATAAGCATGACCGCCATCATCAGCATCATCATAATCAGCATCATCAGTAATATCATCATCAGCATCATCTCATCAACATCGGCATCGTCATCAGCATCGTCATCATCCTCATCATCACCATCAGCATCCTCATCAGCATCATCGTCATCAGCAGCCTTCCCCCTTGTCCTACTCATCCGCCGCCGTCCGCTCCGCCTCCACCTCCTCCTCCTCCTCTTCCTCCTCCTCCTCCTCACCATCCTCCTCGTACTACGCCTCGTAATCAGCATCAGCATTACCAGCATAGTCAACACCACCAGCATCGTCATCATCATCATGATCATGAGCATGATCGTCATCGTCAGCAGCAGCATCATCGTCATCGGCATCAGCAGCAGTGCATCCTCAGCATCATCATCAGCAGCAGCATCATCGTCACCATCATCAGCAGCATCAGCATCATCATCAGCATCATCATCATCATCAGCATCATCACCATCAGCATCATCAACATCAGAACCATCATCCTCGACATCATCAGCATCATCAGCATCATTATCGTAATCAGCATCGGCATCGAAATGATCATCATCAGCATCACCATCATCATCGTCATCATCATCAGCAGCAGCATCATCAGCATCAGCATCCTTCCCCCTTGTCCTACTCATCCACCTGCTTCCACTCCACCCTCCACCTCCTCCTCCTCCTGCTCGTCCTCCCCCTTCTGCTACTCCTCGTCATCATCATCATCATCACCATCATCATCATCATCATCATCATCATCATCAGCATTACCACCATCGTCACCACCACCAGCATCGTCATCATGATCATGATCATGATCATGATCGTCATCAACAGCAGCAGCATCATCATCAGCATCATCATCAGCAGCAGCAGCACCCGCATCATCATCAGCATCATCAGCATCATCATCAGCAACAGCATCATCAGCATTACCACCATCAACAATACCATCACCAGCACCATGATCACCGTCATAATCAGCATCAGCATCGTCATCATCATCACCATCATCATCAGCATCATCACCACCGTCAACAACAGCATCATGATCATCATCAGCATCATCACCATCACCATCATCAGCATCATCAGTATCATCATCATCGACGTCAGCATCACCATCATCCTCATAATCATCATCAGCATCATCAGCAGCATCATCAGCAGCATCATCTGCATCATCTGCATCATCATCGTCGTCGTCGGTGTCGTCAGTGTCGTTACGACCATCATCATGAGCAGCATCAGCAGCAGTATCAGCATCATCACTATCAATATCATAATAATTGTCATCGTCAGCAGCAGCAGCAGCAGCAGCATCAGCCTCAGCAGCAGCATCACCATCAGCATCAGCAACATCAGAAGCATCAGCAGCAGCATCATCAGCATCATCATTAGCAGTATCGGCATCATCATGCTCAGTATCAGTAGCATCATCATCATCATCATCATCATCATCATCATCAGCAGCAGCATCATCAGCATCATCATCATCATCATCATCATCAGCATCATCATCATCAGTTTAGTCATCATTAGCAGCAGCAGCATCAGCGTCAGCCTCAGCAGCAGCATCAGCATCAGCATGAGGATATCCAACATGCGGTCGTCTGGGGCGCCAGCGAGGGACAACCATGTTAGATACCCCTCTGGCCGACCTGGACACGTGAAAACAAGCATTTCGCCTGAGACATCCTCCGTTCGCCGGCCCTACAGCCGTCGGGACCGGGGGGAAACCAACTACCAAAAGAGAACCCTGCGCCTGCGCCCTTTCCAGGAAAAACGACAGTTGCGCACTTGGCAGCGCCCAGCGAGGCGACATCTAGTTTGGACCCATTTCAGGCGTGACCCCTCTGGACCTTCCAGGAGCGCTGGGAAGTGGTGACGCTTCCGCAGATGGCACCGCCTAGGGAGGCAAGGTCACGCTTGGATCTCTTCAAGGCCTCTCGCAGCTGGACCTCCAAGGAGCTCCCGAAAGTGGCGACAGTTAAGAAGCTGACAGCGCCCAGGGAGGGGAGGTCTAGCTTGAAAATGTTAAAAGCGTCAGTCCGATGGCAGCGGGTGGCAGCAGCCCAGGGGGGCGGGGGGGGGGGCAAGGTTTAGTGTGAATCCGTTCGCGGCGTCACTCAGTCGTCCACGAAAGTGACAGCAGTCGCACAGTTGGCAGCCGCCGATGAAGGCCAGGCCTCGCTTGGGCCCGCACAAGGCCCCACTCCGCAGGACCTCCCAGGCGAGAGATTGGCAACGGCTGCGAAGTGGAAACCCCATGAAAGGCGAGGTCTCTTTGTGTCCGCGTAAGGCCCCACTCCGCCAGACCTCCCAGGAGTTGAAGAAAGTGGCGACAATTGCGCAGTTGGCACCGCCCAAGGAGGGCGAGGCCTCGTTTGCATCTGCGTAGCGCATTACTCTGCTGCACCTTTCAGGAGCTCACGAGCTTGCCGAGCCGCCCCAGGGAGGGCGAGGTCACGTTCGGGTCCGCGAGGGGCCCCGCTCCGCTGGACTTCTCAGAAGCTCGCAAAGTGACTGCGGCGCTGGCAGCACCGAGGGAGGGTGAGGTCTTGCTCGGGTCTGCGTAAGGCACACCCCGCTGGACCTCCAAGCCCACGGAAGCGGCGACGGTTGCGCAGTTGGCAGCCCCCAGGAAAGGCGGCGTCGAATCTGGATCCGCGGAAGGCCCCTACGACGGGGGAGCGCAATTCGTGGGCCCCCCCAGGAGCTCGCGAAAGCGGCGACGTTTAAGCAGTTGGCAGCGCCCAGGGAGGGCGAGGTCTACACCCCTGCTCAGAGCGGAGAACATCTTAGGCTAAGAAAAGGGGCTTCACTCCAAGCATGTTCTTAATCAGTAAGTAGCCCAGGTCCACAGATACGAACCGTGTACGGGGAAAAAAAGGCATAAAGAACACACGACCAGGGTCCAGTCCAGATTCTTGGCTTGCTTCAAGAGAATCTGGAATCCACGCAAGTTGATATTTTGTCGCAAAAAGCTGCCGCTTGCCTCTTAAGCTCTCTGATGGGTGTGGTCCCGACACCTTTGACACGTCACGGGCAACGGTTGAACAGATGGCGCCGCCCAAGGAGGCGAGGCGAGAGACACCCAAGAGGCAGGCCGGAGTTACGGGGAGGCAGGCAGGAGGCAGAAGGCCAATATGGTAGGGGGCAGAAGGCAGTCAGAAAGCAAGAGGCAGGAGAAGAGGAGGCGGGAGGCAGGAGTTGAGGCAGCGGGTGCTCTAACCAAAACGAGAGCCTGGGACAGGAGAGCTGGGACAAAAACGCAGGAGGTAGAAGGATGCTAGGGAGGACAAAGGTGGAGGCGAGGAGGGGAGGACGGGAGGAGGTGGGAGAGGAAGGAGATCAGCAGCGATCCTTTCAGAACGAAGACCCGACACAGGAGAGTTGGAAAAACGCCGATCACAAGCCAACTGCCGAAGATAGCATCACCAGCTCCGTGATGTGGATGTTCTTGTTTGCCGAACAGCCCCTGGCTCAAATGATTAGCAATGCAAGTACCCCTAATCCTTTGGAAGGGGACCTAAGTTAGAAGGGCCAAGAGCATTGGGGATAGGGGGTCGCTTCTGAATGTGTTACAGACGAGACCACCCACCGATCTAGGGATAGCTCTAAAAACCGAGGGCCTAAGTTGGGCCACGAAATCATTTTGCTATGGTTAGGGGTGTCTCATGTATTATTCTGAATGATCAACCGAAGGCCATCGGAGCCTTGATCCAAAACAGTCTAGACGAGGGCTCGGAGGCCAGGAAGCAGGCCAAGCCCCAGGCAACCCGAAGAGGCGGAAGCGCAAAGACGAGGAAGGAAGATAAAGAAAGGGGAAGGAGGAAGGAGGAAGAGGGAGGAAGGAGGATTTCACAGCGCGACGCTGCCAGCCAAACTCCAGAATGCAAAAGATCGGGGGGGACGGGCAGGGGGAAGAATTAGTGCACCCAGCAGCCTGCAGCCTTGGAGGGCGGCAGCCCTTTGCATAGACGCTGCAAGACTTCTAGCTCGTGCTTAGTGACAGCGTGCGGACCCAAAGTGGCGGCAGATCACGGCTCCCACAAGGGGTCTGGGCGAGCAATTGCCCATGAGCCGCATTCACCGCCGAAGGTAAAGGAGCCCTTCTGCCACAGGACGTGGGATGAGTGGACTGCCTTGTCAGCAACCCATGGAGCAGCTCGCTCAGGGATCGGGTCGAGGCCCAGAAGCCTCCACGGAGAGTCGTCCCGAGGGGGCAACTGGCGTCTGGGCCTGACCCATACTTAATCACAACCACCTCCGCCACCACCGAGGAGAAGGAGGGAGGCGGAAGGAGGGAGGAGGAGGGAGCAGGAAAGAGGAAAGAAGAGGAGGAAGCACAAGGCGAGGAAGGATGAAGGAGGAAGAGAGAAGAGAAAGGGAGGGAGAGAGAGACCGAAACAACAGCCCAGAAACAAACCAAACCGTGCGCATTCCAAAGTGCATAACACATATCATCAGCGCTTCTATGTGCGGTGCGGAGGGGAGGGGGCAAAAGAGAAGTGGCCATGGGGCTCCTTCGCGATCGCCTGCCCGATGCCTGCACGAGGGGAGAGCTGCAATAGACAAAACTACGCTCCTCCTCCTCCTCATCCTCCACCTCCTCCTCCTCCTCCTCCCCCTCCTCCTCTCTCTCTCGTCATCTTCCTCCACCTCATCCTCCTCCTCGTCTTCACCAAACTCATCAACATCATCCTCAGCATTGCCATCGTCACCAACATCATCACCACCACCATCATCACCATCATCACCATCATCATCCACCTACGCCGTCTCCTCATACAGATCTTTATTACGAAAGAAGCGGGTCATGGAGGAGACGGGTGCTGGACCCCAGGGCTTTCCCGAAACCATCTGCTCGTCTCTTGATGGTCTCGGGGGCCAGGGAAGGGCCGCGGGAGCAAGGAAAACCGCAAAACAACTCCAGGGCCCATTTCCCTCCAGGACGCCCTTTTGTTATGGTTACGCTCCTCCTCCTCCTGCTACTCCTCCTGGTCGCCGCCGTCAGAATCATCCTCATCATCTCCCTGATCGTCGTCGTTGTCACCACCACCGCCACCAACAACAACAACAACAACATCATCATCATAATCAGCAGCAGCAGCATCGTCATCATCAGCATCAGCATCAGCAACTTTGTCATCAGCATCAGCATCATCATCAGCGTTATCAGCATCATCAACATCAGCATTATCGTCGTCATCGCCCCCATCGTCGCCATCAGCATCGGCAGCATAAACAGCATCATCATACTCAGCATCACCATCACCAACAACATCAGCATCACCATTACCAACAACAGTATCATCCACATCAGCATCATCATCAGCAGCAGCACCATGCCATCTTCCGCATCATCATCAGCATCAACATCAATATCAGCATCAGCATCAGCATCGTCATCATCATCAGCAGCATCAGCATCAGCATCATCACTATCACCAGCATCACCAACATCAAAATCAACATCAACAACAACATCATCATCATCAGCATCATCATCATCACCACTGTCTCGTCCTTGCCGCGCTCTGGTGTCATGGCTGTGCACGATTGAGAGAAGACTGGTGCAAGAGACCTGGGCCTAGACCGGACTCCAGGCAGCACCTCGGGCAAACTGTGAGCAACCCTTCCACACTGAGCCCTACCCACGTGCAGAGGGGTGGGCTGGAGACTGAGCCAGCGCCATGAAGTCCGCCGCACGAGACGCTAGAGGAACCAGCACTGTATAAACACAAACTTTCGACGGCAATCCGCACTTCACCCCCCTCCCTGGAGCGCGGAGCGCGCCAGGGGTGCCGCAAAAGGCGCCACCAGGGGGGCCCAGCGCAGATCAACGAAATCCGCGCGGACTGTCGAAAGTCTGTGTTTGTGCAATTTGCTGCTCCTCGAAAAGCTGGGCCATCTCAGCTTGCAGCACGCCTGGACAAGGTTGCACTTGAACCGCGATTATTCCCTCACCTCCTCCCCTCTGCACTTCTGCTTCACAGGCGGGCGCTCCACGTTCTGCTCCACGGTCGTGAAGCGTTTTGTTCTCCGCTGCCCTTTTCGCAACGCCGAAGGGGTTGCCAGTCGCGCGCTCTTCTGCCCACGCATCCTTCCGGATGTTTTAGAAGAAGAAGAAGAGGAAAAAAAAAAAAAAAAACGAACCACAAAAACATAAACTGTTGGCGCTCCACGTGGATTTCTCGGATTCGCGCTACACCCCCCTCCCTGGCGCGCGGAGCGCGCCAGGGGCGGCGCCGGAGGCGCCGCCGGGGGGCCCAGGCGCGGATCCAAGAAATCCGCGCGGAGCGCCAAAAGTTTCTGTGTATGTGTTTGTTTCTTCTTCGATGCTTGGCTCTGTGGTGGTGGTGGGAGCCGCCGGTGCTGGGAGACGCCGGGCCGCACCGAGGGAGGGGAGGCTCCCGCACGAGCGGCGCAGCCCAGGCCACCCTGCCACCGCTCGGACGCCTCCTCCCCGTGCACACGTTTGGATTACGTGCGCCCACCTGCTCTCATGATGGGCCTGTTTTCCACCACCACCACCACCACCAGAAGCTGGAGGGGGAAAGGAGGCGGAGGACGAGGAGGAGGAGGTTGAGGAGGAGGAGGAGGAAGGGGTGGAGGAGGAGGAGGAGGACCCCCTCCCCCTTCAACTTACGGTGGTGGTGGAAAACAGGCCCATCATCTCAAGATGATCCACACTGCTCCTCGATGGCCCCCCCCCGAGCAAACGACGCACACACAAAACGCGCCCCGCGCCGCGCGCGGCGTAAGGCCCGCGGCCACCCCCGGGCCCGGAGGCAGAAGGGCCCCGCGGCCCAGACCGCGAGGCGCCGTGCGGGGCCACCCCCGTTCGGCGGGGGCGGATTCGGGTGGGTTGCGGTCGGTTCAGGTCGGTTGGGGCCGCTCGGGGTCGCTTTGGGTCACTTCGGCGCGGGTCGCTTCGGGTCGGTTTGGGTCGTTCGGAGTTGGATCGGGGAGGTTTGGGTCGGTTCGGCGCGCCCAGAAGGGGGGAAAGCGAGCAAAAGGCCCAACGGAGAGACCAACAAGTAGATACAGATTCCAGGATTCCCATTCTCGTATATATATACACATACATACATACATACATACATACATACATACATACATACATACATACATACATACATACATACATACATACATACATACATACATACATACATACACATATACATATACACATACATATACATATACATATACATATACATATACATATACATATACATATACATATACATATGCATATATACAGATATACATATTTACATACATACATACATACATACAAACATACATACATACATACATAGATACATACATACATACATACATACATACATACATGCATACATAATGCATAGAATGTATATAGTGTATAGATGTAAACATATATACAACTAACAATGTTTTAGATGCCCGTCCTTCCCAAATCCCACCAACCCTCCAGGCGTAGGTGGTCTAGGGAGTTTTCTATTCCAACCCCCTTGTGTCTCTTGGGGAGGAAATTATCACTGTCCCCTATTAATAAACACCCCCTCCCCCAGGCGACTGGGGGCCAACCCGAGTCCATGACGACCCCCCCCCCCACCATCCCTCTTGTAAAAAAAAACCATACAAAACACACTTTGCCTCCAAATTCGGAACATGCGCGGCCAACCCGATGCGGCCCCCCCCCAACCATCCCTGTCAAAAAAACAATACAGAATACACTTGGCGGCGGCGGCGGCTGCGGCGTCTGCGGCGGCGGTGGCGGCGGCGGCGGCGGCGGCTGCGGCGGGCGGCGGCGGCAACGGCGGCGGCGGGTGCAGGGGCGGGGGCGGGGCGGGCGGCGACGGCGGCGGCGGCGGCAGCAGCGGCGCGGCGGCGGCGGGCAGCGGCGGCGGCGGGCGGGCGGCGGCGGCGGCGGCGGGCGGCGGCGGCGGCGGCGCGCGGCGGCGGCGGGCGGCGGCGGGCGGCGGCGGCGGGCGGCGGCGGCGGGCGGCGGCGGCGGCGGCGGCGGCGCGGCGGCGGCGGGCAGCGGCGGGCGGCGGCGGCGGCGGCGGCAGGCGGGCGGCGGCGGCGGCGGCGGCGGGCGGCGGCGGCGGCGGCGGCAGCAGCGGCGCGGCGGCGGCGGGCAGCGGCGGGCGGCGGCGGCGGCGGCGGGCAGCGGCGGGCGGCGGCGGCGGCGGCGGCAGCGGCGGCGGCGGCGGCGGCGGCGGCGGCGGCGGATTGGCCCCCAGTAGCTGCCCATCCAAAGACGACTGCTGAATATGCTGAGGCTCGGGCCAGACTCGGGTGCTACGTATGTGTTGGGAGGGCCGGTGGGAGTGAGCGAGACGGCTTGCGGGCGGGGAGGGGGTCTTGACCCCTCCCCCTACCCCCTCCCCTGGACCTGGACGGGGAGGGGGGCGGCGAGGGGTTGGAGCGTCCAAGATGGCCCAAGACGGTTCCAAGATGGCCTCGGGAAGCCCAAGATGACCTCCAAAATGGCTCAAGAGACCCCAAGATGCCTCAAGGCGCCCCAAGAACGCTCCAAGAAGGCTCCAAGTGGCCAAGAGCTCCAGGCGCGCCGCCATTTCGCCCCCGCTGGCAAGCGGCCCGGGTACCCGCGGGCCCCTCGGATCGCATGGGGGCAGGTCTCGGGGAGGCACAAAGAAAAGGTACCAACCTCAGGGGGCCTCCAAGGCGGTGCGGTGGCCACACCGTGCGCAGGCAACCACGTGTGGACCCTACCCTCGCAGGCCAGAACTCCGAAACGCCGGCCAGGGTTCGGAATCTGGAGCCGAGAAAACTCCAGCGGCGGTGCCCAATGTACCAGCGTCGGGTGGACCCGCAGGGGTAGGGTTCGCACCAGATCGCAGAGTGTGGTGACTCAGTGGGGACTCGGAACTCGGAGTCACCGCACAGTTTTGGGACCTGGGCCGTTCCCTGAGGGTCCCAAAAACGTGCGGTGAGTGCGGCGAGGTCATGCGGGATATCTCGAGCTCACTGGCCACCGGACGGCCTGTCACCGCACGGCTTCGGGACCCCGAGCGATGCCGCCACTCCCCGCACCTCTCCTGGGGTGCACTCTGACCAAACTTTCGCGGCGAGTCCAGCCGTGGCCACAAGGGCCTCTGGGACCTTTCCTCCCTCCCTTCCTCCTCCTCCTCCTCCTCCTCCTCCTCCTCCTCCTCCTCCTCCTCCTCCTCCTCCAAGGACGAGCAGCTGGATCGGTACCTGTCCATCCGCTGAGGTCTGGTGGCGGCTGCGCGATGGGCAGGCCAAACCCGCGCGGCGGCGCCGCCGGCACGCGCCCTGGCGATCGAGCCCCCCGGGGGCTGCCTGGCTTCAGCGCCTCGCCGGCGGGGCAGCGCAACGTCTCGCACGTGGCGGGCATCAGCAGCGTGACCGGGTACCTCCACCCCTCGTGCATTGCGAAAGGTTTTCTGGGGAGGGAGAAGACAGGAGCGGACCACAAGATTCGACTGTGGGGCGGCCAGCGGAGGCAGCGAGAACAGGAGACGGTGCACGGCCAAACCCGCGACACAATTTTGGCCTCGAAACCCCAATGACGCGATTCCAACTTTCAAGATGCGACTGGGGAGTCGGCAGGCTGTCCTGCCGCGGGACCGCCATCGCCATATCCTCCAGGGCGAGACGAAGGCGCTGGCGCTGACGAGGGCGGAGCGGAGGAAGGAGGAAGAAACCACACTGTACCCCAACAGTAGCGCGCCGACCAACCTGCAACAGGTGAGCCTGGGCAGAAGAACGCGGCGAGCCGCTCGAGGCTCCTGTCCGTCCATCTCCCGACCAACTTCAGCCCTCCTCCTGGCACTAATCCGCGGTATTCAACCCTCTTCTTCCCTTCCCTGAAGCGAAACTAAAACACCAAACAACATCGGATCGGGAGAAATCGGGGATCTCTGAGATCTGGCGGTCCTGGAGGATGTATCGGGCGCCGCGGGCGTTCCGGAGCGCTCTGGAATGCTCTGAGGCGATATATCTCGATCCCAGGCTTGACTGATCTCCGTCACCTCATGTCATTACTCCCTCTCCTCCTCCGCCTTGCCCTCCGAATGGCACCCAAACGGCCCAAGACATCGTGGCGAATCTGCTCCCCCAGGGGCTAACAGAATGGCGAAAGCCTCCAGCGGAAGACGGCCAGAGACACACGAACACCAAGAACCGAGCCGTCAGAGCTGGGCGGTCGGTCGTGTACTCCAGCGGACTGGAGGTATGTGGTGGTCATCATCGGCGCCGCCCTCATTCCGCCAGAATCTTCCTATGGCAAACGCGCGCTTTTGAATGCTGTTGGGTATGTCCAACCCCGCAACAGCGAACCGTCGAGGTCAATGCTTCTGCGCGACACCCGTGGCAATTCAAGCCATCCGCGTGCCCAAAAAAAACACATGCGGTTGCTAGTAAAAAAATGTTTGGGATGCCTCTCCTGGTCTCCTACAGCCACACCTCATGCACAAGAAATCATGATGCATGCACGCACACAAACAGACACATACACAAACACGCAAACACCACATACACACATACACACACGCACGCGCGTCCGAGCAAATAGCTTCGCAACAGGATGTCATCGAAGTCAATGCCTCTGCGTGCCCGCCATTGCCAAAGAAGCTCTGATGTCAACTGAGCAAGCGCAATTGAGATAACGGCTTCCAGGGCATACCCATACGGAGAGTCACAGTGTAGAGGCCGCGACTTATGGCCTGGGGAAGACTGTCCAAAGAATAATCGAAACGACCGCCCAAAAACCAGCCCAGGGGGCCCTGGCCGACGTTCGGACGCACTCCAGGACACTCTGCCCAGTATGATGCCTTTCTTGCGTTGCGTCTTGCTTCTAATGCTGCGCTCGGTCCGCTCATGGAAGAATCGCCCGACGCAGCGGCCAGCGCTGCGATGCCCGCGACGTCAACCTGCCCCCCGCGGAAACACCGCGCACAAAGCCATGCCAATTGATTAGCCCCCCACATCGACCCCGCCCCCCCCCGCGCGCGGCTCCAAGCCCCCGATGCCGGTGATCACGGACCGCCAGCGCCGACCCGTAGTCGCACTCAGGAATCCAGCCACGGCGACGAGCCCATGGGACGTGGCTTACCCGCGGGAAAGGGGCGGAGATGTTTCGTAGATGTTTCGTAGATGGTTCGTAGATGTTTTTTGCGTGCGTAGATGTTTCGTAGATGTTTCGTAAATGTTTCGTAGATGTTCTTGTGGGCGTAGATGTTTCGTAGATGTTTCGTAGATGTTTGTAAATGTTTTGCCGGCGAGGTTCGCCCCGCGAGCGGATTCGGGCTCGCGCGACCACCTCGCTTACGCATTGTAATTTACAGCACTTCAGGCGAGGTTCGGCCCGTGGACGGAATCGGGCTCGCGCGACCACGGTTTCAGCAGATGCGACCGCGTCGTTTTCGACCCCCCGGAAATGCACCGGAGATGTTTCGTAGATCTTTCGTAAGTGTTTCGTAGATGTTTTTGCGTGCGTAGATGTTTCGTAAATGATTCGTAGATGTTTCGTAGATGTTTCGCAGATGTTTCGTAGATGTGTCGTAAATGTTTGGGTAACCGGGGCTCGTGGGCAGGCGGGGTTCGAGCGCTCAGAGCCCCCCCCCGAGGGCTTCTGAGTCCCTCCCACAGAGTTCCAAGAGGCCCATTCGAGAGCCCTCACAGGACGTATGATATCGTTTGGGCCGAGCTCTTTCGATGCGTGGTGGCGCAGAGCAGCCCGCAATGACAACAACACAGAGAGAGCCCACTGCACGGCCCCGCCACGCAAGATCAAACCACCAAACCACGCGATCCGCCCAAACCAATAGCGAAAAAAATGAGCTGACGGAACGGCGCCAAAATCGCTTCCCAGCCGAAGCCAACCAAATAAAACCTGGACAGCCCACTACTCGCGGCCTCTACAACGGACAGGGGCGCGTTTGGAGCGGATCCTGGGAGGATGAAGAGGAGGGAAAGAGGGGATCCACTCTGGTGCGGATGGGTCGGGGGATGTAAATCATAGATTGGCGGAGCTCCTTTTTGCCGTGGGCAGCGCGCAGTGTTCCGTGCCACCCCGCGTGCAGCAACAGGGCTCGGCCACGTCCGCACGTGCGCGCCACTTCCCGGACAGCCCCAAAACCGAACAGTGCGTTTGCAGCACCGTGTTCGACAGCAGCCATCATAGGATCGAGGTTTGGCTTGCCAACGCCAGGGTCGGCCGCCCACCGTGCCAGCAAGCACGCGGCCCAAAACGAGCAAAGGTGGAACGAGGCGAATTGACTGAACACTCGGAGAAGCAGAATGAGGTCTCTCAGGGGCGCTCCAGCTCCGACCAGCCTTTTTCGGCGTAGTAAAATGGTTCAGCCCACGCCGATACCGAGGCGCGCGTCGAACTAAAGGGAATGCCCTGCACGAGCCACGAGGGGCTGGCGCATCCAAGACGGCGCTCGCGCGGCCGCAGCTCCGCCGCGGGACAGCCCCCCCGAAGCGAGAGAGGACCCCGAAGACAGCATCTTCGCGGAGAAGGGCAGCGGCGCAGCGGCGGCGAAGCGTCGAGGAAGCTGGAGGAATGGACAAGGAGCGGGGATGGAGGCGGGGCGGTTGGAGGGGAGGGGAAATGGCGGGCGGCAGAGGAGCAGAGCCGCGCGGTCTTGGACAGCGCCCAACTCAATAATTAGCGCTCGCAGGGCGCAGCTTGCCGCGCGGCGCTGAATGCCGCGCCGCGAGCGAACTGAGCAGAAGGGCGGGGGCGAAGCGTTTCGCCGCCTGCTGTGGCGCGGCAAAGCGAGAAAAAAAACATGCAGCGCTACGCTGCGCCGCGCAACCAGGCGATCGCGGCGAGTGAAAGCCGGCCGCGTCGAACGAAGGGGGAGGCAACGCACCCCCCTGGGCGCGACAAACGAGGGCGCTGCCACTGCAATAGGATAGCCACAGACACGCGCACGCCCGTGGAAAAAAACGGGCCCGCGCGTCGAAACAATGATATCGCCACGCAGCGCAGCGCGATTGCAAAGCAGAAAACACGCACGCGCGTCGACGCGAAACCGCCGCCACGCAGCGCAGCGCGACTGCGAGGCAGAACAGGGGCGCGTCGCAACAAGAATACCGCCGCACTGCGCAGCACGACTGCGAAGCAGAAAAAAATGTCGAAACGACGATGCCGCCACAGCGCAGAATGACTGCGAAGCCAAAGCACAAGTGTCAAACATATCCGAAATTCCAACGTGGAGCACGCTGAATACGCAGCCCGCCACGACACGAGGGCGCCGCGCGCGAGCATTAATAAGCCGAAGGTGCCCTGACCAATTACAAAGTCGCGATCCACAACTTCGCTGCGGACACGCTTCTGAGGCCCGCGGGCCCCCCGCCTGGCAACAATCCCAGCCAAATCCCGGCCGCCGCCGGGCAATATCCCAGCCAAATCCCCGCCGCGGCCCCGCCGCGGCCCCGCCGCCGCCCAGCCGCGGCCCAGCCGCGGCCCAGCCACCGCCCCCCCAAAGAAGCTGCCACCCCTCTAAAAAAACCGCCGCCGGCAAAATCCCAGCCAAATCCCCGCCGCGGCCCCGCCGCGGCCCCGCCGCCGCCCAGCCGCCGCCAAGCCGCGTCCCAGCCACGGGCCCTCTTCCCGGGGGCCCCAACATGGCCTCATGGCACCTCGCAGGAAGGAGGGGCGCGATGGGAAACAAGAGGAACGCGACGGAGGAGCATGGCTGCAGGAGGGGGAAGGAAAACCACCCGGAGCGAAGGGCGGGAGGAACGGCATGGAGAGCGCGAAAGGAAGGCGGGAAGGCGACGAGGGAAATAAGGAGGAAGAGAGATTTCGGAAGGACGACGGATGAAGGAAGCTAGAAGGAAGACAACGCAAGACAGGAAGAGGAAAGGAGGGACCACCGATGAGGATTGAAAAAGGGAAAAAGTAAGGAGGACACGGGCAGGGGAGAGAGGATAAGGGGTTGGGCCTGCGCAGACCTGGAAAGACGTACCAGCGACGTGAAGGAGAAGAAGAAGAAGAAGAAGAGGGGACTGTTGGCGACAACGAATACGACAGTGATAATGGAAGCAGATCGTAACATACTTGAACGGATGTTGTTGGTTCGATGTGGGCCTCCGCAACAGTGAGATACAATGTCATTTGACCGCCGCATGTTCATCACGGCGAATGGCAGCGTCGGCGCCAGGGCCAGCGCGCGCGAAACGCACCGGAGAAAGCTCGAAATATTCGAATGACGAAGCGCGCACGAACGGCCCCGAAGCGGACGCAATCGTAACGATTCGGCGCCGTTCGCTACGACGCCATCGCTGGCTGCGCCAACCTGACACAAGCACGCGCGAGAGACTGCCGCGCCAAAGCCACGCTAACCGCGCATTCCAAAAAGCCAGCCGCAAGAGGGGGGGGGGGGGAACACGCGCAAAGATGTGCGAGAGCACGGGTGGGGTCAGCTGGATTTCGGCTTTGTTTCTGTTCGAACTACACTTGGGGGGGGTCATTTGTCGCCTGGGCCTCCTCGGTTGGGGTCCGGGTCCACTTGTCGTCCCACCGCGGTGCAGCAGGCAACCTTGTTCCCTCGAGCGTCCCAACCTGCGCGGCGGGAAGTGGCGATCAAACTACCCCAATCCGGAACCAGAAAGTGAAACAAAAGAGATGCAGCTGGGACTCAGGGGTCCGGCCTACCCCTGCAGGCTCCGGCGCAGCAGGCAACCGCAGCGGCGTGGAGCGGGCGCGGTGGGCTGATCAGGCTACCGGAGCCCGAGGGCCGATTGGCATCGGGTGCCTGTTCGACCGGGGGCGGAAGCTGCTGATCCTCGGTCCGACCAGTACTATCGCTCCCCCCTGCGGGCAGTGCTTGGTCGTCGGTCCCGCGGGGCCCCCGAACAGAGTGGTTTCCTGGCAGCGTCAAGGCCCCCAGGCCCTGCACTCGCTCTGTGAAATCAGCTGGTCAGGCAGCTCTGGGGGGACGATCGTTCATCTGCTGAGCCAGTCGCGACAGGCGAGGGGCGCGGCCAGGCGGCTGCGCAAGGGGGGTCGATGGCAGCGCGGTTCCCGCGCGGCGGCCGCGGTCGGGGGGCATGGCGCAGCGTCGGGCGCCCCCTCGAGAGACGGGGGTCCCGTCAAGACGGCTCGAGCCAAGGCTTGAGCCAGAGGGGGCTACGGCGGCTGGTGGGGATGCGCGAAGCAACAAGAATTGAGAAACCGAGCCTCACGCTCTATCGTGGCCAAAAGACGCTCCACAAAATCCGTTAATTCAAATATGTATGAAAACCCGTCGGGCACTCAAAGTGCACGGAGCCGTAGTCGAGGACAAGCCTGAACTCGTCTTTAGGCTTGGTGAGCAGCACCTGAGGGCAATCGGAACCAGTCAATGAAGACTTGATCGCAGCACTCTCTCTCAAAGCGTCTTTTCTGAGAATTCCCGCTCATCGATGAAACTTGGAATCAACTTTTCCGACATCCTCAGAACCGGACTGCCACACGAGAAAGGCCGCCATCTCTGGAGCAATCCGTCTGGGCCATCGGCAGGTACCTGCCCAACGTGCGTACTAAACTCCGCCTCGTAACATCGCTCGCCGCTCGAAACCGCCCAGAGAGCAGCCATAGCGCCCTACCGCCTCCCTCGGCATCAGGTGGGATTCTGCCGTTGTCCACGACCCCTGTGAGTTCACCTTGCTGCTCCTCACTGCCGCGTGGATCAAGCTCAAATCGTCAGCGAAAGGTGGGGACCCAACTGGAGGGACAAATCTGGGACCATGACCAAGACTGAACGTCTTGGTCACCGTCCACCTTGGTCAGCGTCAATTCGTGGATCATCCTCGCAAGTCGGCGACGGCCGACGTGGACCATGACCAAGATCGGTATCGACAATATCCCACGACACCGTGGTCATGGTCAGCGTGCTTCTCCCCCTCGACCAATCCAATCAATCCAACCAACCCTGTGGAATGCAGGCGACCTGGGGTTGTCCCCAAAGCTCTGCTCTGCAATCTGTAATGGGGTCTCCCGTATCTTCTGGCTCTTGCGAGTCGATGCTTCCCTCCGCAAATCGACGCGAATAGGACGCTAAATATACGCTAATCGACGCCGACATACCTTGCCCCCATGATTTGCTACCGAACGCAATCCTTGCACCCCTGTGGGGACGGGCTTACCCTGTCCCCGCACCCCCTCCGCAGGGCTCCTGGTTCGACGGACCGCTGGCACTCGAGGCTTCCCACTCGACGCCGCTGTATAAACCTGATCGGAGGAGAGCGGCAAGCGTCGTCCACCAAGTCCGCCAGAGAACGTCAAGCTGAACACGACAGAACAGCTAAGAAAGGTGGCAGAGCAGACCCAAGGACGTGACAAAGCCTCGGTGTGCTGCTCTGCCGTGCGGGTCTGTCGAATGTGTCTGCCGTCCTGGCCGCTTGGTGGACCTCGTGTGCCGTCAAGAACTCTCCTAGGCTCTGGGGAATTCTCTTGTGAGCCTGCTGGGTGCATGCCGGGAACCTCGTGAGAAGCTTCTTGGGCTGTGTTGCATTGTATTGGCGCGACTCGAGGTCTGGGGGGGGGGCTCTGTCGGAGAACATGGATGCGAGAGGAAGAGCGGGAAAGAGCAGAATGGTTACTCTTGCTTCCGACGTTCGCGTTCGTGGCCTGGCTGCAAACGTTTCTGGAGGGTGCCATCAAGTATGTGTATATATGTATATACAGATCTGAAGGAAAATAAGAAAGAAAGCAGAAGGGGATGACCGCGAAGATGCCAAAGAGATTGCGCGCAAAACGGGATGTCCACCCGGGAAAATCACACCACGCAGGGTGCGACAAGACGGAGATTGATGCAACGGCAAGAGCACGCAACGAACATGTCACAAGCTACTGCCCGCAAGTGCAAAAGAGGAGGAAGATGAGGAAGAGGAACAAGGGAGGGCTGATACGAAGCGTGTCCCAATTCGTATCATCCAGTTTTGCGCAAGAGTAAACCAAGAAACGGTATGGCAACCTAAACGGTCGCAACCCAGGCTGGGCAGACCGACCCAAAAAGTTACACTACAATGCCGGGGGGACGGGGGGGGGAGGAGGAGGAAGGGAGAACAGGGGAAGGGGGGAAGAAAAGTATGAGAAAATAACAAGAGAGACAATCCAGCACGCGAAATGCAAACACTCCGCCGTGACTGGGCGAGTACGGGCCGCCATGAGTGAGCACGAGCAGCCATGGAACGAATACACACTCTAAGCGTCAAACTTGGCCATGGGCGAAGAGCGCCAAGGCGAGTTCTTGAGTGAAAGACACTCTGAGGGACGTCGGTTCTGTAAGAAAGCGATAAACGGCAAGACACGGACGCCAGCGAACTACGAGGAAACGCACCGGCTAAAGGGAGGACAGAGAGGGAGAAGTCACCGAGTCCCTCCACACAGCAGCAACTATGTTCGCCTGACCTGAGTGTGACGCGCAAGCCTCGCGCGCCGACTGCGCCCAGGCCTCCTGCGCGTCGGCTGTCTGCCCGTGGCGAGCGGCGGCCCCCGCACCGCACGCTGCATGTGCAGCAACGGCGCGTCGAGCGAGTTCACTGGCCGTGTCTTCGCGGAACGGCGGGGCCAAGAGAAGAAGGGAAGACAAACTCTCCCGAGGAGGAATGGGGAGGAGGCCCGGCCGCCTCCGGCTGAAATCCGCAACCCTCGAACAAACAAAACCGAGTGCCGAAGACAGTCCTCGGTAGCTCAGCAGCCGAATACGCACCCCAGGCGACGCTGCATACGGTGGCTGGCGTTCCAGCCACTGCACAGCGCCAGGAAGCCAGCCGCCCAAACGCGACAAGGCACCAAACGCGCCAGCCCGCGAAGGGCGCAGGTGGCCCGTTCCAGGCGGCGACCTGGAAGCAATGGGATAGAAAGGCGAGCAAGGTGGCGGCTCAGGCGGCGCGCCGCGCCCATCGGGGACGGCCCCATGCACACGAACGCGGCAGCATCTCTGCCAGTGCCCCCGCGGGGCGGGCTCAACGGCGGCCCCCTGCATCAGTTCGGCGATCGACATCCTCGCATTCGTGGCGTTCTGCCTCTGCTGGAGCTGCCAGCGGGCCTGATCGAGGTTGGCGAAGAAGTTATTGTCGCACCAATCACACCAGACCGCTTGCCGCAAAACGTAATCGGAATTCGCCCGAACATCCTGCAAAACCTCAGACGCGGCGCCGAACCTCAAGCAAGCCGCGCACCACGTTCCCCCACTGGTATACCGGGCACTTCGCCGCCGCAGCCGTCGCGCGGGCGTCTATAGGCGCGCTCTGGAAGCCGAGGGTGCGCAAGCAACAGAGGGCCGCAGGAGGGGCCCGGCCCCGCGGACCCAGAAAAAGGATCGCGCGCACTTTTTCCTCGTAGACCGCCCACTCAGTAGGGGCGCGGCGCCGCTGGAACTCGGAAGCGAGGACAAAGAATATGCAAATGCGGCAAGCCCAGAGCGTCAACCGCAAGCCACGCCCGACGCCTCTCCACACCCGGGCTCGTGCTATAAAATCATCCCAAAGTTTGGCCCCTTCAGGCTCCGCGCGTTCAAGACAAATGTGGCAAGCCCAGAGCGTCAGCCGCAAGCCACGCCCGATGCCTCTCCACACCCGGGCTCGTGCTATAAAATCACCCCAGAGTTTGGCCCATTCAGGCTCCGCGCGTTCAAGACCCATTGCGAATCCGAAATAAGTGGCGCGGCGGCGGGTCGCAAAGTCGGCCCAAGCGGGGGCGCCAGCTTGGAGCTGGAAAGCCGGGCCCGGGCCTCACCCAGGGCGACCAACGACAGCGGCGCCCACGCCGACTGACCACGGTGAGGCCAGAGCCCACAAACAAAAGATCAACGCGCACTGCTCGAACATGCGCTCCAAGACGGGGGCGCCCAGCACCCCGCGCACGAGCACGACCGCGAAGTCGTCGGCGCAGGCACCAGGAAGAGCGCCCGGAATTTGACGGGCGAGACGCCGCAGGAGGACGTCGGACAGCGCCACGAACAGGAAGGGTGACAAGGGGCAGCCTTGACGCCCCCCTACCGCCAACAGAAATCTGGCGAACCTTCGCTCTGGATATCACGACATTGCACTGGTTGTTCCAACGAAGCGCCTGGAAGAAACACGCGCGCCACGCGGGCCAGCCGCGCGCGGAGATCACCCCCATCAGGAACCCCTGGCTGGCGCGCGGGAAGGCGGCTTCGAAGTATAGGAACACCACCGCCGAATCTTCCTCGACAAAAGAGTTGTGGAGCACAGCCTCCTCGATGTCCACGGGTTAACCAACCTCGACCAGCCGCGGGAAAACCCGCGCTGCGAATCGGGAGCCCCCGGGGCCACATCTGGCTCGACGCGCATCCGCACCGCGTCGCGCGCGATCCTGTCGTCGGCGCTGGCGATGCTCAAGATCGTCATGTTGCTCGCAGCGAAGATGCTCAGACCGTCCGGGGTGGAACCAGACGGCTTCTTGGGGGGGGCATCATCAGGGTCTCGCGAAAAGACCCCGGTCCGCCCCAGCAGACCCACCCCGCCAGTGCAAACAAGGGCACGGAACGCGTCGTAGAGGGCCTCCGCGGCAAACCGGCCGAGCTTTCGCCGCGTTTTGAAGAGCATGCCGTCTGGCCCCGGCGAACAATCGCTCCTGTTGACGATGGCCTTCACGAAGGTCTCGAACGGGACAATGCGGCCTGGAACGCGTCGGCGCTGCTCAGGGGCCGCGCGAAGAGCCTCCTCCGCAAGCCTCGCCTGCTCCTCCGATAAGCCTCTCATGTCCTCGTGTAACTGCCGCAATTCAGAAACAGCGCGGTCGCGAGCAAGCTCTGCAATGCGCGCGCGGACGAGACGGAGACGCCGGCCGACCGGCGCGTCAAAGTCGCAATGGTTGCCCACAAGGTCCTCGCGTCGGAGAATGCACTGACGCACGCCAGTCGCCGAGCCAGCCCCCGGGGAACGAAGAAACCGCATGGCGATGCCAACGCGACCCTCCAATGCAGCGGCATCCCCGCCAGGGAAGGCCGAGCGGGGCAAATTGCGGGCAGCGGTCCGCGCAGCTCTCCTGAGGCAGACCAGGTGGCGGATGCGTAGACGGAGCAGTCTTCTCTCCCAGAAGATCCCGCCATGCAAATGCGACTCGATGAGGTCGCGCCAGATGCTCCATCACGTCGCCAGGCAGCGGTGCGCTCTCGAGCGAGGAATGTCGGGGCAGAGCTCGGCGAAAACTGACAGCTCGGTGCCTGGGTGAACCTGGCGCCCATGCCAACGCCGCGCCCGCCAAGTTATGGTCGAAATCCTCCACGACGCTCTGATTGCATTGAACCTGTCGAGGCGGGAGCGGCACGCGGGGGAAGCGCAAACCATTTCGGGCCGGTGAATGTCACGCAGACCGCGTGGAAACGCAGCACAACGACGCCAATTAGCCCCTTCCCCGCGGCCCCGCGCGCCCGTCGCAGCCCCGGGGTCGGCGCGCCGACGGCCCTCGGGCGCGGCCACGCAGTTGCAGTTGAAGTCGCCGCCAAGGAATGCGGGCACCCAGTCTTCAGGCAAGATGCGACGAGCGACACGCTGGCGCAAGGCATCGCGGAGCTCCACGACGGTGGGAACCTGGCCAAGATGGGAGAGGCCTGCCGCGTCGACATCCACTGGGGAGGCCACAACTCCAGCCCAGACAACCTTCCAGACGGCGCAGGCGGAGCATAGCAGCGCGGCTGGGCGCAATTATCCGCCATCGAGGACGTCTTCTGAACTTCGTCAGGAAGCTGCTTAAGAGTCACGCCCACTCCAGCACTGCCCCCGGCGGGGCCCAGAGCCCACCAGGAAGTCCAGACCGCGGGGTTGCGCCAGACTGCGCGCCCACCACCGGCGCCGCGTGCATCAGGGGAACGAAGAAACAGCCGAGCGCGGCCCGGAGGCGCAGCCGCATCCCGAGAAGCGAGGTCCCAGTTGCGACGCCAGCTCTGGATCCGCCGGCTGAACGCCCAGACCTGACGCGGAGCACGCGCGGGCGATCAGCTGCTTAGTCGCACTCCCGTCGGCGTCCCCGACCCCCCCATTCACGCGGACCTCCGCGACGTAGATCATCGACGCTGATTCCGTCAGGGGCCGGCCCCGCCGCCAGCGGGAGGCGCCGAGCGCCGCCGAAGTGGCCGTGGAGATCGCCTGCGGACGGCCGCCGAAGCGCCCGGCCTTCTGCTCGGGCATCATCGCGTGGTCTGGATCCCCCGGAGCGCCTCGTCGAGCTCGGCGGAAGCGGAAGTGCAGAGGAGCACCTTGTCCGAGGAAAGGTAGAGTGACTGAGAGCATAGAGGCCAGGCACGTCGCGAGGCGAGCGGACTGCGGCACTCCATGATCTTGGCGCATAGGGAGGCGCAGAGGCCCTCGCGGCCCACGCACATCTGCGAGGTCAGCAACTGGCGCCGCAGAAAACGAATGACCAGCTCCGCGGCAACCTCGAACGCGCTGCTGGGAAGAAGGGCTTCTACCAACAAGCGACGCACCTCCGACGCGCCCCCAGGAGCTGCCGGCAAAGCAACGGCACGGGATTGGCGCGAACTCCCGGGCCAGCCATCGCACGCATGAATGCGGCCAGATGCTCGGCGGAGAGATCAACCCACATGGAACTAACCACCTTCGCCGCGGAGATCTGCACGAGCGGCCGCGTCGTGGAACGGATCGCAGAGGTCGCGCGGAGGCCCCCCCGAGAGATCGCAGAACGCGCCAGACCTTGACGAACGCGTCGGGGGGCGGAACGGCCTGGGAGGACATGCCCCACCAGCTGCGCGATGAGGTCCACGCCGCGCACGAGAGCGGCGCGCTCTGGCTTCTGCCCAGGAAGGGGGTGCCACCAGAGATCGAATAACTCTGGAATAAGCACTAAGAGCGCCAGGCTCAACGGACGAAGCCGCGGATAAGGCTGCCGCAACATGGCGGCCATGAGCCTCTGAAGCGCATTTGAATCGGGAGGCGCCCAAGTCAGGGCCCGCCGATCCCCAATCCCCCCAGCGCGCGCGGGCCCCCATTTTCCATCGCGCTCGCGAGCTGCCGGCGCAGGTTGACCGTCGCCGCGCGGCCCTGCGAGGAGGCGTTCGGGAGCTGAGGCCACTGGGTGGCCACCATAGCCTGGGTACAAGCGGGAGCCGAACGAACAGCCGTCCGAGCAGTTCCCCAGAGCTCCTTCCACCGCGGGAGTTCGTGGAGCACCTTGGAAGGCTGCCCCTAGCACTGGCGGCCGGCTTCAGAGAAGGCAACGGCGGCCGCCGCCGCGCTAGCTTCATCCACCTGCGGCCAAGTAGAGTCCGAAGCCACGGTGTCGGGCGACGATGCTCGCAAGAGTGCCCGCGCGAGGAGGCAAAGCGGGGCGGGGCTGGAGCGCCCCGAAAACGAGCAACTACTGCGCGCTGCTGGCAAGGGTCGCGACAATCATGTCCACTCGCGGTTCATAAAAGAATGTCCCAACTCAGTCCGCAATTGCGCTTTGGCAACGTCGATCCAATCACTTGTCCCAGAGGCAATTCCCAAGGCCATATCCGCATGCTTGCGCGCATCATCTGCCCATCGCGTTTTTGGCCTCGCACGTCTGCAAACAGGTTGCCGGGACTCAGCGTGCAGAGCGGGCTCCCACAGAGCTCTGTAAGTCTGCGACGGTCGGATGCCACTTGAGATGCCCATATCCATGTCCCCCGTCGCCGGGTAGCGATCCAATCTCCCCCAACAAAATGTTGCACTTCATGTGTAAATCGTTTTATCCAGTCGACCCATGGCTCGAAGTGGTATATTCGCTCTGGTGGCCGTCGTCAAACAGCGCTGTCTCGCGCGCCCCTGCGTCGCTCGAGGTACTGCTTGTCGTCGACGTTGCGGGGTGGTCTGCGTCTTGGCAAACTTGCCATGTTGAACGTTATCCGTTTGTGCCTTCCCGTCGTCGTCGAAGAGCACCCAACACCACCCGCAACATCTGACGCCGCGCCCGGCGCGACTGCTTTCCAACCCATTCGTGAGAGCCCAAGACGTACAACCATAAAGCACTGTCGGTGAAACCGTGCCGTGCCGTTGCATGAGACTACTCTGGAATGCAATGAATAAGTACGGGTAGTAAGTTCGTCCTGCTGCTATTATGCTTTCCATTTCGCTTGTATGAAGGTCCTGGAAAGTGAACTTCTGGCCAAAATACTCCTGCGTGGCTCTGGGCGGCCATCTCAAGGTCGGACACGAACTCTGGTTTCGCGCGGGGACGTCGCTTAAATTCGTCATGCGAGATATTTGTCTTATCCGGGTGGAGCTCGAACCCAACCTTGGCGCCCTCGTCTGGTACCTCCCGCTACCTGAGATGAGCGTGCTTCAATCAAGTCCCAAAAAGAAGCACGTCGTCGGCAAATCGTAGATTCGTGAGCCGTGCGTCGCCCTTCTGCGAAATTTACACGGATACCACACCCACGTCGCAACACCTTGCTCTGTACCTTCCGGGGCACGGTTTTTCACAACGAGTTGAAGAGTAAAGAACTCAATGGGTCACCCTACTTTGTCCCACGCTGGATAGGAAATTATCGACTTTTCTTGTCTGTCGAAACAGTTGCCGTCTGTTTGGCGTACAAACGGTACAAAATTGAAATATGTCCTTCAGCGATTCCTCGTCCAGCGAAAGCCTTCAATAGCGCGCAGTGAGATACCGTGTTGAAGGCATGTCGCCACCCATACTGCCATTCGCGAGTTTTTTCTTGCACGATTGATACCGTACAAAAGGTGGTCATCCGTAGGGAAGTTACGGCGAAATCCAGTTTGGTCTGGAGGCTGTTGTAAATCGAAGTCCTTCTCAAGCCTGTCATAGATCAATATACTGAAAAAGCTTGAGCTATAATGACATAATTGCAATAGGGCGATAATTCTGAGGCTGGGACGGGTCGCCGGCTTTGTACACAACCGTGATATTCGCTCGTCGCTACTGCTCCGGCGGATCCGCATCACATTTCAGCACGTCGCTAGAAAGCTTTAGCAACGTCTGCTCCAGCACCGGCCCGCCGGCCTTCAGCATCTGTGCCAATACGCCCATCTTGTCGGGAGACTTGCAGTTTTTGAACTGCGTGTGGGCCAACTTGAGCTCCTCCAGCGTAAGGCTCAGGACCTGCGTGTTGCTGTTGTGCTGGTTCGTGTCCTCTTGGGGGGCACGTGGTCATTTCTCTTCATACAATGATTCGAAAAAAACAGCAAAGAGGTCTGCAATGCCCTTCCTTCCGTGCTCCTCGGTGCCGTCGGGCCTGAATCAGCGAGAAATGGCGGAGCACCTCATCGTCCGCAAGGTCCTGGAGCGATCCGTCCAGGGTAGCAAAAGCTACAATGGCAGCCTGGGCGCCGGGAACGGCGTTCATCTGCAAGTCTGCCATGCCCTGCGTCGCGCCAGAATTTTTGTTGCTCTGTGTCCATGCCATCAAGGCTGTCAATGTTCTCGCCACTCTTGGACGCCAGGTTCACGCGACCGTTGATACCGAAACCCTGAGCGCCTTGAAAAGGATGAGCAAGTCGAGGATCTCCGGCATGTGCGAGGGCAGGCGGCGAGGTTGGCGACGAAACAGCCGTTGCCAGGCCGGAGGCGCCACCATGTGCGGCTAAGCCAAATCCGGCATCGCCTCGCCCTGCACCTGGCGGAGGCATACCTGGCACGGCGCCATGGCAGAGGGAAGGTCGGGAGTGCAACTGAGGAAGTGTAGAAGAGCCAGAATGTTTGAGCCCTCAACCCCTGGACCTGACCAGGGGTACAACCTTGAGCCAGTATGTCTATATATATATATGTATATATATATATATGTCAAGGAGAAGCTCTTCCCCTCTCCCTGTCACTCTCCCCTGCATCCGCAATCTCCGTTCTGGTATGCCATTTATTTCACATTCTTCCTCAAATCCTTCCTCCGGACATGTTTTACAGTCCTCCTGCAATACAGCGTCATCCTCCTCATTCTTGCAAACTCTCCTCCGTCTCCTACCATTCCTGCTGCCAGTCCACCTTCCCCTCCTACCATCTCTCCTCGTCATCCTTCCCCATCCCTACCATCCGCCCTGCTACCAGCCCTCCCTGAAGGGAGCCACACATTCTGCACGGAGCGCTTACTCTCGGCACCACTTGAGTGGATCATGCGAACACGCCGAAAAGATGAAAGCCGTAAGAAACACGCCGTGCCATGGATCGCACGAAGGCCAGCGGGCGCTCGGACGTGGCAGCGGGGCGGACTGGTGGAATGTCTGCCCACCGAGCATCGAAGCGCAGCGCTGGCCAGACGAGGGTAGGACGAGGAGGAGCAGCAGCAGGACTCAAAGGACGTGTTTTGACAGGAGGAGGCTTGTTTTCCAGCGCCACATGCAGCAACGTCAAAAGAGTCCATCAAAGATGTAACCACCCAAAGATAGACTAAGAATGCGAAGCCGCCGGACCGCCTGCGGGGGCCTCCAGGCTCTGAAGAGTTTCGTCGCGTTGGCTTCAATATTGCTGGAGCGATGTAGAAGATTGAAGGCAGTGGCTGCATCCTGCCCCCCCTGTTGAAGCCTCCCCCCCGCCCCCACACGAGACCTCTCGCCACCCTCCCGGGGGTGCCGTAGGATTCCTGCTGTCGCAGGACCTCTGAGATTACGCTAGATTCGCGTTCCAAGGGCCACGAGTATCCTTGGTAAATGTTTGTGGGTCAGCGCTCCCGGGACCACGATCCCTTGTGAATTACGCTGGATCCGGGCTCCGAGGGCCACGACACCTCCAGAATTACGATGGGTCCGCACTCCCAGGGCCACGAAACTGGCACTGGATCCGCGCTTCCAGAGCCACTATCATTTGTAAGATGCGCTGGATCCACGCCTCTGGGGGAAAGATCCCTTCTTAACTACCCTGGATTCGTGCTCCCAGGGCGGCGATCTCTCGTAAATCATCCGGGGCCCACTCCCAGGGCCACGATCCCTCTCAAGATTGTTCGTTAAAGCCAGGACCACACACTTGCTGGTATTTCCAGGCATTTGTCTGAATCTTTATCGTGTGGCGCATGGGCCGCTGGCAAGTTCAATCCGCCCAGACCCGCACCAACATCCCTCAAGAGCCTTCCAACACTCAAGAACCGTCGGTAACCCCAACGAACAATTCTAAGGCTCTTCTGCCGGCCACTTGGGCCGTCTTGGAGGCCTCGGAGGCGGTCCAAGGGGTCAACAGATGTGAAGCACCTTGCAAATTCACGCAAACTCGACCCCAAAGCTCTATCTGTGGATGGGGAGGAGGGGGAGGCGACGGAAACGGTCAAGGAGGAGGAGGAGGAGGAGGAGGAGGAGGAGCACCTCGAATCTGCTCCCCCGTGCGCGCTTCCAAAGCGTTCTCGACCCCAAAGGCTCCCAGAAGTGCCCCAAGACGGCGCCCGAGGCCCCCAACAGGGGCCCAGGAGGTCTCCAGGAGGCTTCAAGACGTCTTCCAAGAGACCCCAAGAGGCCTCCAAAGAGCCTCTTGCCCACGACCCAGACAGTGGCGGGATGGGCCAGAACTCACGAAATCCGACGCCCCCACAGAGCGGTCAAAGGATGCGTGGCGTGCTGCAGTTTAGAAAAGCTCGCTGTCCCTTCGCGAAGGTTCCCACTTGTTCTCGACCGGTCCCGCCGCCCCCACACACCGATCTCAACATCAAGATGAACCCAGCGCGACCCCAATCAGGGGAAAGTTTCCTATGGCATGGGTGGGCGCAGTGCTCGACACTGCTCGGCATGGCTTTGCAGTGCTGGGGGGTCCGAGCAGCAAGACCGGGGAACCCGAAGAACCCAAGCAAGGAGCAAGACCAGGCACCCTGAGGAACTCGAGGAACTCAAGAAAGGAACCAGACCAGGGAACCCGAGGAACCCAAGCAAGAAAAAAGACGGCGGAACGCGAGGAACCCGAGCAGGAAACAAGACTGGGAATCCGAGGAACCCTCGTAAGGAAACCAAGCTGGGGAACCGGAGGAGCAAGACCAGGAAACCCGGGGCCTCAAAGCAAGGAACAAGACCCGGGAACGTAAGGAAACAAAACAGGAGAACCCGAGGAACCCTCGCAGTAGAACAAGACCGAGGAACCATGGGCCCTTGTAAAGGAACAAAACCTAGGATCCCCCGGGAAGGCCCTTGCAAGGAAACAAGAACTAGGAACCGCGAGGAAACATTTGGGCTCAGCACCCACTGGTGCTTCACAACAAGCAAGGAGGGACCCCTTAGGCAAAGCTACACTTCAGAAGAATCGCTCCAAGATGGCTATGATGGTCGACCCTGGTCTCCAAGACGGTCCAAGACGGCCCATCATGACCTCCAAAACGATTCCCAGTCAAGGTGGACCAAGATGGCTTCAAGAGAGTTCAAGGACTCTTTGGGGGTCTATTGGGCCGTCTTGGGGGCCCTCGAGGTCGGCCCAAGAGACCCATGTCGCTGAAAACAAGACACAAAGGATGGTTTGAGAATTTGTGATCTGGATCTTGAGATCGATTGTGAGATCGGTAGTGCGATCGATAGTGGGATCAATAGTGAGGACGATAGTAAGGTCGACCACGAGACCGACAGTGAAGTCGATTGAGTGAGATCGATTGTGAGATCGCTCGCTCGATCCATAGTGAGATCGATTGTGAGATCGATAATGAGATCGATTGTGATATCGATGGTGAAATCGATGGAGAGGTGGGTAATGAGATCGAAATGAGGCCGATCGAAAAGGAGATCGACCAAAAACCCTGGAACCCGGAAACCCGGGAACCCCGCCGCCCTCTGAAATCGTCCCGGAACCAGCAACCGGAAATCCGGGAACCCGGAACACGGAACCCGAGAACCCGGCCGCCTACCGAAATCGGCCCGGAACTTTCGTCAAATCTTTCAATATCCGCTAGGACCCCTTCAGTGCAAGCACTGATTGGGGAATGTTGCTCAATCTTGTTCGGAGTCTCCCCTGTTCGGTCTTCAGAGCGTCCAAGGCGGTCCAAGCCCCCAAGACTGGCCAAAAGGAATTCAAATAAATCTAAAGAGGACCCAAAAAAGACCCTAAGATGTCCGTACTGTGGGTTTGTGTCGTGTCGACCAGGGCGTTGGAATCTGACACCGCGGGGATCGGTCAACCTTGAACGATCGGCCTTTCCAGAACGTCAGATCGTTCAATACCGACCGAATCTGGGTCCCTGGCGGCGTTCAATATTGAAGGCCCGCGGCGGGGTCGCCGCTGGTCGACAAGACACGAAACTACCGTACAGGGCCCCGGGACGGCCCAAGAGAGCCCAAGACAACAGTGGGGGGCCCCAAGACGGCCCAGAGAGGCCCCAAGACGACCCCTAAAGGAGCCAGACGGCAAGGCCCCAAGGAAGACCTCAAATACAAGAAGAGAGCACCATTGCAGACCCAAGACAGGAGCCCTCTCCAGTGTACCCCGAGTGGTTTCCCTGACAGCTTAGAGCACGCAATCCACTAGCGTGGCAGCATTTCTCTTGACGATTCACGGCGCTGGCGCTTCCAAAAAGGTAAGGGGCGGCCGTGACTCGCCACAGGCGATATATACGTAATTACAAACTCTGTCATACTCCGGTTTGCTCTCTGGCACTTTTTCCGCATAGAGCAGACCCCTCGCAAAAAACCGGCACTCGCAGCTGGACTCCCTAGCGGCGCCTCTGGCGCCGCCCCTGGCGCGCTCCGCGCCATGAAGGGTCTCCAGCGACGACCCCAGAAATCCGCGTGACCTCTGAAGGTTTATGTTTGGGCCGTCGTCTCTTCTCCGAAGCAAAGAGAGAAAAGCCCCTACTGGACGAGAAGGCGGAGGGCACGCCCATGCAAACCAGTGGCCAAAAACGTTGCCATGGCATGGTGCGCCCTTACGTGGCACTGCAGGCGGGTCGGCAAGTCCATTACCTCTGCATGGCCACTGGCAGAAGTTGCGTCGCAGGTTAAGCAGTGCAGGTCGAACAGGTCGCCCCAAGAGCTGACAAATTCTGACCCCATGGAGCTCGCCAGGGAAGTCCAGCGCCAATTTCAAAAACATGCGCCAGGGAAGTCCAGGGAAGTCCAGCGCGGAGCTCCAAACGTGTATGCTGTGCTCCTCAAGCGATCCACGAAGTTCCCCCAAGAGGAGGACAGTACCTATGAATGGCGTCTGCATGAATGAGGAAGGCGCGATTGTCAGGGGAAGAATCTGGGCCGCCAACTCTTCACTCGGGTGCACTTGCGCACAGGATCGGGACAAGCAAAAAGCTAGATAAATAGAAGAGGAGGAGAAGGAGAAGGAGGACCAGGAGTGACGGCCTCGCAGAAGCTGTGAACTGTTGCAGGCCGGCTCTGGGAAACAGCATGCTGCATTGTCGCGCCTGGGAGAGGCAAGAGGCCATGCGCCAGTGTATGAGCAGGGTGCGCTCCGCTATCGGATGTCCAACAGCATCCGCGAGAAAGGGCAGGTGGCACGTGTCATCCACATCCTCCTCGTGCTCCTCACCCTGCTCTTTCTCACCTCTCCCCATCTTCTCTTGTGCAAACTGCACCCGGGTCGAGTCCGTAATCAATGGACGTGTGGGTCGGGCACATGCTCCAGAGCACCGCGTGTGGGGCCCGAGCATGACGCAGCTTGAAACGACTCCCAGCACAGTATTTGCTGTGCACGAGCAAATGCACGCGCAAAGCACGAAAGCCATGGGAGTAAGCAGTTGTTGCACGGTGAATGTGAAAGCTATGTGGTGTAAGCTGTGTGGTGGTGCAAGCTGTATTAGGCCTATAGGCTGTTGGCTCAAACTCGTCGGACCCTCAAGTGGGTGTCAACGAGTCGGCCACGAGGTGGCCTCGGCAGTAGCAGAAGGAGGAGAAAGAGCGGTACGGTCAGAAATGTTTGCTTAGCGTGTCGCGGCCGCGGTCCTGGCGACACTCTGTGCCTTGCAAGATCATGGCGTGTCGCTCCACTCAGCGGAGCGGAAGGCTGGAAAAAGCTCGGGACGTTGACGCTTGGAGACGGCGGCGCGGTCTGCGTTTCGCGCGGAAGCGCGATGGGCCAGCACGGGCGTCGCGACACGCTAAGCCAAAGATCCTGACCGTAAGAAAACAGTGGGTATGACAACTTGGAGGCCAGCCGTTCAAAAAACGCGCCAGGACAACGAACAGCGCTGGACGGCCGGTCAAACCAAGACCTGTCCACGCTGTCGCGACAGGGCTTCCACAGAACTGTCATGCGCCCTCGCAGGATCACGAGACGCTGAGTTCCCCATGCTGCTAGGACCTCCGCTTCCTCCTCATCACCACCTTAATTTGTCATGCCAGCCCCCTCCAGACAGGCAAGCACCCTCTGTCGGACAGGAGACTGGCCCGGCGCGGTACGTTATCCTTGCACTGGCCACTTTGTCATCTGTTCCACGCAAAGACACCGCGGGTGACGCAACCACATTGCGAATCCAAAGGTCGCACCGCACAAGCCGGCCTGCAATAGGCAAACCCATGCTATGAACCGTCAAATCGACAATGCAGTTGCGACAGGAAGGAGGAGTGAGGAGGACGAGGGAAGAGGAAGAGGAGAAGGAGGAGAAAGAGGCGGCCCATGCGAGCCACTCGTTGATATAGGCAGGCGCAAACCGCTAGATGAAAAAGACGGTCTACATGCGGGAGAAGTTCAGAGATCCTGTGCGTACAGCTGGCTGAGGCCTGCAAAGGCCAGGATGCAGCAGAAGTACGTCAGCTTCAGCGCGACCGCGGCCGTAAGGCGCACCTCCCAGACGTAGAACCCTGCGGCACTGTACTTGATAAACTCCACCAGATAGTGCCTCCGAGCGTCGACGCACTCACCTAGAGCATTTGGAAAATTTTACGGTGCCGAGATGAACTCCCCGACTCCCCGACTGGCCGACTCCCCGACTCCCCGACTGGCCGACTGGCCGACTGGCCGACTGGCCGACTGGCCGACTGGCCGACTGGCCGACTCCCCGACTGGCCGACTGGCCGACTGGCCGACTCCCCGACTCCCCGACTGGCCGACTGGCCGACTGGCCGACTCCCCGACTGGCCGACTCCCCGACTGGCCAACTGGCCGACTGGCCGACTCCCCGACTGGCCGACTGGCCGTTTGGCCGACTGGCCGACTGGCCGACTGGCCGACTCCCCGACTGGCCGACTGGCCGACTGGCCGAGGCCCCCAAGAGGCCCCCAAGAGGCCTCAGAATTGCCTCCCAGAGGTCCCCAAGAGGCCCCAACACGCGCCCCGCTGGGTGCGGCGTGTGAGATCCACAGCATGGCCTTCAATAGCGCTTCGCGTAAGTCTTCTCCCCAGCGCGCTTGTCATACCTACCCCTGCCTCTGCGCCCTCGCAACCCCATCCTGGGGTCCTCCCCGCGCCTCGCTCATTCCGCCGGCCCGCAGGCCCTGGCTGCGGCCGGGGGGGCGCCGCCTGGCCGCCAGTTCCGTGCCCAGACGACCCCCCTTTCACGTGCTCGCCTTCCAGGCGCCGCCGGGCGCTCTCAGAGACCTCTCCAGGAGCCCACTGGGCCGGCGTTTCGGGCCTCCTGAGTCTCTCCTGGGCTCATTTTCACCCTCCTTCAGGCCACTTTGAGCCGTTTCAGATGCCTTTCCACCTCTTTTCGAGCCACATACACCAGAACACCCCAACAAGAAAAAAGCATCGTAAACACACATAAGATGTTGATGATTCTGGCCTTCTCGCACTTCTCCTTGCGCCTCTCTCGGAGCTCCCGTGCATGGCTCTTGCGGCCATCTTAGAACCCGGGCATGCTCTCTACGACCATCCTGACAGCCTCAGGGACCCATCCTGCGCCGTCTGGCCACCTTCTTGGCACCGTATTTCGCCCATCTGGGGCGCCCCCTCAGAGCAGGGGCTCTTCCAGGAGCCTCAAACAAACCCGGACTGCTTTTTTCCCCTTCCCGTTTTCATCGTTCACCCCAAGTCGCCGCACTTGACCCATTCCGGCTCCTTTTTGGGCCCCTCCAGAGATCCCCCTGGGACGAACCCGACGGATTGTTTGAGCTTCTCCCGCCTCTCTGCAGCCATCCTAGCCTCAGGGTCATGTGAAAGACACTCCTCGGCGCGCTTTCTGGGACGAACCCGACGGTTGTTTCAGTTCCTCCAGCCTCTCTGCGGCCGTCCTGGCCTCAGGGTCGTACGACACAGAGCTCGGTGCTTCCAGTTCCTCCAGCCTCTCTGCGGCCGTCCTGGGCTCAGGGTCATATGACGGAGAGCTCGCTGAGGAGCCCGATGTCCTCGCCATAGAGCATAGAGCCCCACGAGGCCTCCAAGCGGAAGCACCAGCACCAGCACCAGAACATCTCCTATTCGCGCGCGCGCGGAGCGGCCGCCGCTCCCAGTCTCCAGGATCCAAAAATGGTGGTGCGGCGATGTCTGCCCCCTCCAAGGACGTTCAATTAGATAATATCAGCAACGCTCCTGGAACACGCTTCGTGCTGAGGCCCTGGCTCAATAAATTTTGACTCGGAAAAACTAGGTCTCGGATAAAGTAGGTCGGCATCCGATGTCTAGTTTACAGGAGTGGAGTGTCTGCAGTTTGGTGCTCCTCGATCGCCGAAGTTCAAAGAATTGATCACGGACGGCATGCGCATGCACCTCTCCGAGACCTCCGCGGTCTTGAAGAAGATGAACGCCGCGCCCACGACCAGCAGCGCCGCGGAGGACAGCCACGCCGCGTCGCCGGCCCCGACTGCCTCGCCGACAGCCTCGCCGCGAAGAGGGCCCCGCGCTGCCAGCATCACGCCCGTGACCAGTGCGACGGCGGTGCTCTGCACCGCCATGAAGCCCCGCTCGGCCGCCCCCGACACCTTGCGCAGCACCGCCTGCAGCAGGTTCCACTCGTGCACGCTCGTCTCCAGCCGGAAGTGCGCGCCGTCGAAGTGTGTGGCGTACGAGTCGATGACCAGGGTGAGGGCGCAGCTCACGTGGAGGATGCCGCTCACGACGCCGAGGAACACCAGGCTGGTCACGGCGTAGCACCCCGCCGTGGCCACGTCCAGGGGCGAGGGCCAGGGCCCCCCCACCAGCGAGACGAGCCGCAGGGCAGCGCTGCACGCCCAGAGGCCAGCCAGCCGCGCGCTGTGGCCCCTCACGGCAGCCGACCAGGCCCCGGTGATCTCCTGCCTGCGCGCGTAGGCCACGAGGATGGACTCCGCGCTGCCGAGGATGCCCAGGGACGACAGGGACTGCATCGCGAGGAGCCCCAGGAGGCTGCCCACCGCCAGGGCCAGGTCGGTGATCTGGGCGTAGCCCAGGCACGCCTCGTGCTTGCACGACCCAGACGGCGCGTAGACCGCCGCGAACGCGAGGAAGCAGACGATGAGCACCACCGACACGAGCACGAGGTGCCAGTAGCAGGAGCGGAGGGCCGAGCTTGTGGTCACCCCTCGCTGGCCCCACGGCAGGATGCCGCAGATGCGGAGCCACAACGGCGCGCTCACGTGGCCCTCCGGTCCCAGCGAGTCCACGGTGCAGAACGAGCCATCAGAGACGAGCGAGCCCTGGTCGTTGACCATCGCCTCTACCAGCCCATCTTCGCGCTGGTGCCGCACCGTCTGCACCGTCTGCACCGCTGGAAGTCCGAGAGAGGAACTCGAGTGCGACCTGCGCCTCGGGGACTGCGTCGACGACGACGAGTTGAACCGCGCCGGGTCGATCCGCCCCAGCGGCAGCGGCTCGCTCATGCAGCCGCTGCTGTGGGCGGCCAGATGGCTCACGTCCGACTGGGGCGGTGGGCCCACGCTGCCGCCGCGGCTCGCTCGGCGGGGTGGCCCTTCCGCCTGCTGGGTGGACTCGCTGCTGGTGCCCGCTGTGCAGCTGCAGCGCTCGCTGGCGGGCTCGGTGCCCGCGCGGGTGGGCTCGCACCTGCAGCCAGAGGGCTCGGTGCCGCACGAGGGCAGGCTGGAGGGCAGACAGGGCGAGGTCGCCAGCGGACAGACGCGGCGCTGCTCGCGAGACTCCTGTGGCACGCCATTCACCGCGGTCATGCGGGTCGGTAGGGCGAGCACGTGCGCGGCGCGGCCGAGCTCGTGAGCAGCGCCAGCGCCGGGGCGCGCGGCGCCCTTGGGCACGGCCGCGAGGATGTCGAGGGGCTCTCCTCTGGCAGCGGCCTGGGACAGGACAGACGTCAGGTCCTCCGTCTGCCCGTTGACCTCCAAGATCACGTCCCCAGCGAGCAGGCGGCCCTCGGCGCGCTGCGCGTTCCACGCAGCGACCAGCCCGCCCTCGTGGATGGCCGTGACGCGGATGCCCCGCTCGGCCGCCGCCTCGAGCACCTCGATCCCCAGCCGCCGCCCCGCGCCTCCGCCCACCTCCTCCCTGGTCAGGTGCACGTGCACCATGCCACCAGCGCCAGCCCGGCAGGCGTCGCCACCCTGGCCGGCCACGGCCGCGGCTGCGTCCGCTGCCTCGCCGCCAGCGCCGGCGGCGGAAGCTGGTCCCAGCCCGCCCGAGGCCTTGGGCCGCTCCTCGCTCGGCTGCCGGCCCCCCCCCAGCTGCAGGTCGAGCGACTCCAGGCACTCCTCGGTCGACGAATCCGAGAATGATCCCCCTGCCTCGTGATTTTTTGTGCTCGCGGAGCGGCTCCTCAAGTCTGGACTCCGTCTCGGGGACCGGAGTTTCTCCTGAGTCAACGCGGAAACGTCGTGCCGACCTTGGTCCTCGCGAAGCGACGCCCGGCATGGACCATGACCAATGACCAGGATCAGCGACGACACGATCCCAAGACATCTTGGTCATGGTCAGTGTTTCTTCCGTCGATGTTTGTCGGTCCCAGGGCCCAGCCAGGGCGGCGCCCAGAGGCCGAAAACGGCCAAAAGCTGCCCGCTGCGGTTTTGGCACAACGCGAGCCTGCTGGCGGAAGCAGCCCCCCCCGCCAGTCGGCTACACGCAAGAGTTGCCCCGGGCAGGAGTGACCTTCGGGGGCCGTGGGGGAGGCCAGATGCAACCCGTTAGAGCGCGATGGTCAGGGCTGGCGGGACCCCTGTGGGCCCGCACGAAAGGTCACTCCTGCGAAGGGTCGCTCTTCCCAGACCCCCGACGTCTTGATTTGTTCACAGCGTCGACCCCCCAAAGGTCTCGACATGGGACCGGTTTCTCATTCTGGGTCGTTTCCCGAGGCCCGGTGGGGGCCCCAATCCATAGGATAACTGCGGTCTGGGGGAACTCCAGCTTGGGCCTCCGAGGCGCGACCCTGACTGCATCAGACACCGGACCGCCCCCATGTCCTGATGACTCGGGGCTCTGAGACCCTGCCCGAGGCGCTCCTGGGCCGGCGCGCCCCGGCGCGGCCCGCCGGGGCCCCCGCCGACGCGGGTCGGCGGCCAGGGCCCGCACGGCGGGGCGCCGGCGCCGGCGCCCGCCGCAGCGCTCGCCGGCACGGGCAGGGGCTCGCAGAGGTCCGCGAGCTCGGGCGCCCCGGGGCGCAGCCCGCCGCGCGGGGCGCCGCCGGCGGAGCGCTCCGGCGTCCGCCGCCGCGGCACGGCGCGGAGCGCCCCGGAGGCGCGCGGGCAGCCGCTGGGCGGGCCGTCGCCCCGCGGCGGCAGGCCTCGGGGGCAACGTTGGCTTGCCGTCGCTCGGACGTCCATGTCCCGTGCATTTTTCGGCTTCGCGCGTGTGTTTCTCTTTTGCTCGATGGTCGAGGGTGGTCCTCGATGGTCTTCGCCGAGAAACAATGCACAAGTCCGAGCGATGCCGAGTTCGAGGGCGGGCACGGAGAAACGGAGCCGAAGATGTCGAGGTTTCTTGACGATGTCATTAGCTCGCCGCGGCTGGCAGGTGTGGAGGGTGCGAAGCACGCTCTTACACCCTACCAGAGCACACCTTGGGCCTCACCAGAAACGGATCGCCGCGGTGTTCTGGCCTCGGGATGCCGGCCAGCGGCTGCGCCTCGCCGAGAGCGTTCTGGGGGTGCCCGGATCGGCCCGAGCGGCCGCTGGAGACCCGAGCTACGACCCGAAGACCGAGCAGGGGGGGGGGGCACCGACCTGTCATCCGCGACACGTCGCCGATAGATCGGCGATAGGCACCCGACAGCGAATCCGCTCGTGCCTGGGCAGGGACGGGGCCATCGGCCACCCATCGGCGAGATGCATGGGCGACAGGGGGCCGATACCTCCCCGCCTGAGCCCACAGTAGAGCTACGACCGAAAGAATGAGATCCCCCTGGGGCTCCAACAGCGCCTGGATGCGAGAGGAGCGCCAGAGGAACAGCGCGTCCCCTACGGCCCCTGGCTGCTCCTTGTTTCAGCGTCTTGACTGTATCCCCCCCGACTGTCTCCCGCCTGCGCCTATCCCCCCAGCCCCCCGACGGACGTCATGATTTTGCTCAACATCGACCCCCGAAGATATCGACCCATTCCCCAGGACCGCGTTCTCAACCCGCCTCGACTTGTTGACCCGTCCTGGGGCCCGGTGAGGGCCCCCAGACTCGAGGCCGAAAATATGGAAACACCTCCCGTCGTGGTTTTCCATGAGCCGCAGACCTCTGGCGCTCGTGAAGGCACGCATCGTCGAGCATGCCGTCTCCAGGGCTCCGGCGAACGGGCCCCCCCAAAAAAGGCGAAAGGGAGGAGGGGTGGAGGAGGGGAGGCGAGGGAGGAGGAGAAGGAGAAGGGGGAGGCTCAGGAAGAGGCCGCTGAATCATGAGCGAAGGGGCGCTCAAGGCCACGGCGATCCTCGTCCACGAATAGGTCACCCGACCCAGGAGCCGAACGTCGTCCTCATGTCAGCGTCTTTCACTGCATCCCCCAATGACGCTTGCCCCGAAGACCTCGCGCGGGCCCGGGCCGC